CCCTCCCTCCCCCCACCCCCCTTCCCTCCCCCGCCTTCCCCCCCCTCCGAACCTGCCAACCTTACCCCCCACCCCCACTCCGCGCTTGTCGCTCACATCACAGGAAGCTGGAGGCGGACGGGCATCGGTGCACGTCCATTCAGGGGGGCATGTCGCATGAGGAGAGGGACGATGGGATTCGCGAGCACTTGAGAGGCAACCCCTATTCCTTTCACCCCTCCCCTTTCACCTTTGAACCCTCTTCCCCACCCTGCGCCTGTCACATCACAGGAAGCTGGAGGCGGACGGGCATCGGTGCACGTCCATTCAGGGCGGCATGTCGCACGAGGAGAGGGACGACGTGATTCGCGAGTTCCGCAGCGGCACCACCAAGATCCTCATTGCCACTGATGTGCTGGCGAGAGGGTTCGACCAGGCGCAGGTGAGAGCAGGGGGGAGTGAAATGGCAGGGGAGGGAGTGGAGACGGTGGGCAGATGATGGGCATTCCTGCAGCACCACCGAGATCCTCATTGCCACTGACGTGCTGGCGAGAGGGTTCGACCAGGCGCAGGTGAGAGTGGGGAGGCGCAGGTGAGAGTGGGGAGGCGCAGGTGAGAGTGGGGAGGCGCAGGTGAGAGTGGGGAGGGATGAGAGTGGGAGAGGGGAGAGCTGGAGCAGGTGGGCAGATGATGGGCGTGCTTGTGGCACCACAAGATTCTCATCACTTCTGATGTGCTGGCTAGAGGCTATGCACCAGGCGCAGCGCAGGTAGGTAGGAAGGGGGTGCACGCACAGGTCATGCACCTCATGAGCTTGCTCGGGGCTTTCTGTAGCGGCACCACCAAGATCCGCATCGCCACTGACGTGTTCGCGAGAGGGTTCGACCAGGTACAGGTGAGAACAAGGGAGGGGTGGAGTGCATAGGTACGGTCAGGTTCCGTTACAAATGTCGCTCATAGGCCTGGTTGGGGCTTTCAGAAGCAGCGCCACCAAGATCCCCTGCTCCCCATCCCTTTTCTCCCACCCCTCCGCTCCCCTTTCTCGTCTGTGCCTTCCCGTTCCACGTGGCCTTGTCTCCATGCCTTGTCTCCCCTTCTCTTTGTCCCGGGCAGGTGACACTGGTGGTGAATTTCGATCTGCCCGTGAAGAACGCACCTCCCAATGAGCCAGAGTACGAGACCTATCTCCATCGAATCGGTCGCAGCGGGCGATTTGGCAGAAAGGGTAAGGGCTGCAACATTTGTTTTTTTCTTACCAAGCCTCAAGTTTTGAAGCGCACGCGAACAAGTAAATGTATTTTCCTCCACCAGCAAGCCATCCCACTTTGGACACGTGTCACTCTGCACAAGTCCCATAAATGTCTCGTCAAATTTCCACTTTGCACGGATCGCGTCCTTGTTCCCTCTCGTCGCCCTCCCGTTCCGTGTTTCAGGTGCTGCATTCAACTTGGTGTGTGGGGAGAAGGACGAGCGCACACTCAACAAGATTGAGAAGCACTTTGACCGCGTGATTCCTGATGTGAGTGATCAAGGATTTGAGTGAATGAGGGTGTGAGGGTGACAAGGGATGTGTGAGAGAATGGGGATGTGAGACTGAATGAGGAAATGATGCATACTATACCAAAGCCAGGTGTATTGTGAATGACACTCACTCACTCACTCACTGCCCCTGTCCCTTCCTCTTCCCACAATGCAGGTGCAATGGGACGACGAAGATGCCTTCGAGAAGGTTCTTAAGGAGGCAGGCCTCGCTTGAAACACCCTCCATACCGTTGGGATCATACAAATGTCGTCATGTGCCATGGGCCACATACACCATCTGTCATCATGCACCATGCTCCATGCACAATGAGGCTCGTGTGTGGCCCATCCACTCCTGGTGGTCTTTCCTTCATCGATTGCTGGGCGTTTCACACAGCCTTGTGTTTGGTATTTTAGTATCTTTAGGTCTATCACTTGTTAGATGATTTGAGTGTTCTCGCCTTCAGTATTGGAGAGAGACTCCACATGTAGGAGTTTTAGGCCAGTATAGGATTGACGTAAATTCTTTTGAAAGCATTTGAGTTGCACTTAGTCTGCAAATGCTTTCTGCTCCCATTATGACGTACAAACCGCACTGCAGATTTCGAGCAGGCCCTGTTTTGGTAGTCAAATCAAAGCTCCTGGCGAATGCCAGTCGATATTCAAGGTGCTTCGCTCGATTTGCTGGCATGGCTCGTTGCTAGCTCGTTGGGGGGATCGCCTGCGTATTTAGCCCTAGTATGTCAGGGGTTGTCCCAGTATATCCTTACTCTCTTTCTGCTTGATCAGTCATGCGTCCGAAGGTTAATTTGTTCATTCCTACCAACTCTTTACTTCGCTCAGGCGATCCTGAGTTTCGATGACCGGAGGAGCACAAGATGGTGATCGAGGTGGAGGAGGTGGTCTTTCCAGGTTTTCTGATGAGGAGCTTCATCTCGTGTTGGATAAGATTTCAAGTGCCAAAGACATCCTTAGTGCGGCGGCTACGTGCAAACGTTGGGAACGACTCGCTTTCCAGGTTAGTTCCGATGCGATTGGTCCATCCATGGTGCCACTTGTCGTCGCATTACCATACGGATAACTTTTTTTTTGTCCCTCTGTCGTTCTCTTCTAAGTATTCCGTCCTCGTTTCTCCAGGGCCCGTCTTTGGAGTTTGTGGGATTTAGAGGAAATTCACCAGAACGAGCTCTCACACGTTTGGTGCTTAAAACCTCAAACCTGATTTCACTTTCCGCGGTATTTGAAGCTGCAAACGTATCAGAAGTTTTGACCTTTCATGACCAAAAACAGTCCGAGCACTATCTTTTGATGTGGCTTCGCCATTGCCCCAATCTGGCAAGGATCCACATTAGAGGATTAGAGGGCTTTCCCAGGTTCCGATGGTTAAGCCATCTTGGCTCTCATGCTCCGAATCTTCGGGTCCTGTCCCTTACTGGCTTGGATTTCCGGCTAGATTCTCTGGATGCAGTTACTTCTCTGAAGAATTTGGAGGAGTTGGAGGTGGAATGTCCAAGGCTCAAAGGGGATTGTGTCACTTGCCTCACAAGCCTCAGCAACCTTCAGAGGTTGACATTGACGGTGGATTTCAGCTTCAGCGGCACATTCTCTAACCAAAGCTTAAGATTCCTTAGTCTGAAATCAGACACTGGGTGTGACAGGTACAGTCATGTTTATCGGTCAGGTTTCGATTTGAAGCTGGATCTCCCTGCATTGGAAACGCTCAAGCTGGGTTGCGTGTTACGGCTTCTAGTGAGCAACTCGCCCTTGCTTACTTATCTGGAGGCTGAGTGCGTGAATAACGACTTAACTTTCGTGAATCCGTCGAAGATTCTTCGTTCTCTTGCATTGCGAATGCGAAGCATCTATGAGGAGCGGCGCCTTTTTACCTGAACCCTTGCTGCTGGAAAGTGTAAACAGTATAGAGGAGCTTTATCTTCAGGGGAGAAGGAGTTTTTCTGCAAGTTTTATGCTTCCAGCTCTGAAGTCCGTCCACATCTCACTTGAATCTTATCCGTTTCAAGTAATGAGGGACTTCGTGGTGCGAGCTCCGTGGATCACCTCTATGGAGTGGTTCATTGATGGTCGCATATACCCTGACTGGTATCGCAAGGATGGCCCTTGTCCAGACAAAATTGCAAGTGGCCTTGGCGAGATTATCAAGTTGTGCAAATCCCTCAAGACTGTGAAGGTTGCCTTCATGGATAGCTCAGATTCCCTTTTCGCTATTACGAACTGCATCTTGAAACTGCAGAAGGCCTTTCCGTGCTTGGATTTCTCTGTCTACCGGAATCATGATGCAGACGACTCCGAGTCTGACAGTGATTCTGGGTCTGGGTCAGACAGTGAAGTGGGGTCGGATAGTACCGGTATTTCCGGTTAATCAGTAGTTCTGTTGCTGGTGAGTAGGCATGCTGACCTTGAAAAAGGGTGTGGCCTGTAGTAGTGTATGCCTCTGGATGGTTGGTTGCAACAACTACTTTGATACGGTATCTGCAATGTTTCATGTGTCCCTACCTGTATGTTTGCTCATTCAACATGATAAGTAACTTTTTCTCTCCAGACTTGCTTTCTTGCAATAATAGCAATGAGATTCCGTAGTGTACTACGGTGTGCTGAAGGATGGGACAAGGAATGGCTATCTCCCTGAAACTGCAGACCATATCTGCATGGCATGCAAGGTACAATATCTCTGTGCCAAGCACCACCCCGCATACTTGCACCACGAATAGAAAAAGGTCGCATGATTTTACCCATCATTTCAACTGAAACCACAGAACGCGCTAGTCCATCAATGCTTTTTGACAAACCTGAGAACAGGCACCATACACCAAGGACCGAGCACCTACCGTATCAGAGACCAATGCAGCCTGCGATGTGCACCCAGGCACCTCCCTGCCACAGTAACGGGAAGGTCCTTGGTGACTTAATGAGACCACTCGAACATGGCCACTGCAGCCCCTTCAACCGCAGCACTCACCACCACAGCTCTCCCCAAACACCCTGCTGAATAGCTTTTGAAGCGACTCAAACATCGCAAACACCATGCCGCCCACCCCTCCTCACTTGACCTCCAGAATGACTTCCAAGACAGCTCAAACGAGAACCACCACAGCCCTCCACGACCGAGTGCGGTTCCCTCGAAGACCACCAAGTCGACTCAAACAGGACCACCAGCTCTCTGCTGCAGCTCTCCCCGCACGCCCCTTTCATTAACTTTTAAGGCGACTTCGCTCAGACAGCTCCACCATTGCAACCCTCCCCACACGCCTCCTGAATGGCTTCTGAGAAAGCTCAGACATCATCACCACCACACTGCACCTCTCCCCATCCTCCCCCTCACTCACTCTTGAGACTTGGCTCAGCACAAGCAGCTCCACCCTTGCAACCCCACCCACACGACCAACAGGATCCTGTATGACCTCTGAGACAGCTCCCCAACTGTAACCACCAGCGCACTGCAGCTCTTCCCATCCACACCCCTCTGTGATAAACAAAGCGACTCAAACATCTCCACCACTGCTGCCCTCCCCACATGCCTCCCTGTCATGCATCCCCTCCCCATCAACAAGAGACGGACGAAATTCCGTAAGTGATGGCATTTCGCCAACAGGCACGGCCTCAGCAGGCATGACGGCAGCAGGCATGTCGCCAGCTGGCATGTCGGCAGCTGGCATGTCGCCAGCTGGCATGTCGGCAGCTGGCATGTTGCCAGCAGGCATGACCTCAGCAGGCACGGCGTCAGCAGGCATGGCGTCAGCAGGAATGACGTCAGCAGGCATGACGTCAGCAGGCATGACGTCAGCAGGCACGGAGTCGGCAGGCATGGGGATAGCAGGCATGTCGGAAGCAGCAGTGAGAGGGCCGGAGGTAGGGGAGGTGGCAGCAGGCGTGGCAGCAGACGTGGCAGCAGCAGGAGAGACGGGCAGTGTAGACGTGGCAGCAGCAGGAGAGACGGGCAGAGTAGACGTGGCAGCAGCAACATGCGAAGGAGAAAGAGAAGCGGTGGAAGCAAAAGAAAGCGGAGCTGCAGTAACAGCAGCAGGGAACGTGGGAGTCACAGGAGTAGAAGCAGCAGTAGGAGCAGCAGCAGGGGCAGCAGCAGGCGCAGCAGCAGGGGCAGCATCACGGGTAGCAACAGGGGTTGCAACAGCAGCAGCAGCAGGAACAGGAACGGAGGGAAGAAATATTCGACCCCCCAACCCCCCCACGCGCCAGTCGTCGGTTCTCTCCCTTTCTGCCTTAAACTGCTTCATATCCTCGATCATCTGCTTCTTCAGCCGTAACACCAGGTTGTACTGCGCGGTAACCGCGTCGCGCCTCACGATGAGCGTCTCGTAGCGCACGGAGGCCATGTCGCAGCGCGCCAGCACCACCTTGTGCTGCGCGATGGCCTTCTGAATCAGCGCCACCACCACCTGCTCCCGCTGCACCAACCTCCCTAGCTGCGACGCCAACGCTTCTGGTGCCTGTTCCCGCTGCACCTGTTCCCGCTGCACCTGTTCCGGCTGCACCTGTTCCTGCTGCACCTGTTCCCGCTGCACCTGCTCCCGCTGCACCTGCTCCCGCTGCACCAGCCTCCCTAGCTGCGACGCCAAAGCCTCTGGCGCCGGCTGGGCCGGAGGATGAGCCTCCTGCTGCTGCTGCTGCTGAGAGAGCTGCGTCTCCACCTGCTCCTGCTGTGCCAGCCGGCATAGCTGCGATGCCAAGGCCTCTGGCGCCTGCTGGGACCGCTCCTGCTCCTGCTGATGCTGCTGCTGCTCCTGCAGCTTCTTGGGATGCCCCTGCTCCTGATCCTCATGCTCCTGCCGCTGAGAAAGCACCTGCCGCGTCTCCTCTTCCTGCCGCTCGCCTGCATCTGCACGGGTCCCACTAGTTACCTCGCCCTCTGCCCCACTTGGCAACTCTGCACGCCCACACGCCACCGCAGCCTCTGCACCGCTGCCCCTGGATTCATCTTCAGCTGCTCCAACCGCACCACTCGTCTCTGGCGGTGGCTCAGCCTGGGACTCGTGCGACTGGAGCGCCAACATTGCCACTGCTGCTGATGATTCTGCTGCTGTAAATGGTTCTGCTGCTGGTGCTGGTGAATCAGTCGTTGGTACGGCAGTAGCAGCCAAGGGGTTAGAAGCGGCGGCAGTAGAAGCCGAGATACCACTTGACCACCTCTCCTCCGCTGACCGGCTTGATTCTGCCGCCACCGGTCGTGCTGACCTGTCAAACAGAAGGCTTCCACTTGGGCCAGCCGCGTCAGCAGCCGGCCGTGCTGACCTGTCAAACAGCAGGCTTTCAGCCAGGCCAGCCGTGTCAGCAGCTCTGGCTGCCGCCGCTTCGAATTTCAGCCGCCATTTCCCGCCAACACATTCGTCTCCTTTTGTTGCTGCGAGTGAGGTGCTGCGCGCGGGCGCAACAGCTGCTTCGTCTAGAGGCGCATTAGAAGCGGAGGGCGCGCAATCAGCAGGCGCGCAGATCTCTCGCGCGGAAACAGAGACACTCTCGTGCGCAGCAAGGGCGCGCGGACAAGCCCCCGTGGCGCGGAGATGCTCTCCGCGCAAGCCTCCCCAAGCGGCAGTGGAGCCCTTCCACCGCGTCCCCGCCACACACGCGGAAGCCTCCAGCTGCCCTTCCGCCTCCACCACCTCTACCGCGCACAGGCACTCCCCGCACCCCGCGCAATCCCCCCTCTTCCCCCTCCCCCCCCCAGACCCTGAGCCGCCGCTTCCTTCCCCGCTCGAAGAGCACCCCCGCGCAATCTCGTCTTCCGCTTCCGCCAAGACCTCCCCCGCCGGGCTCACTTCCGCTCCCCTTCTTGCTCCCCCCATCGCTTCCGCCGCGGCGGCGGCGGCAGCAGCGGCGAGGTACTGTCCTTGCGCCATGAGGCGGTCGCGGTCCGCCTCGAGCGCAAGCTTCTCCGCGCGGAGTTCCGCCTCGACGCGCTCGAGCGCCTCCTCGTCGGCTCGCAGCAGCAGGTGCTCGCGGCGCAGCAGGTCGCGCTCCGCCTCGAGCAGCGCCTTCTCGTCGTCGAGGCGCAGCACCTGCCGCTCGACGCTCGCCTGCTGCGCGTCGATCTGCACGTTCTCTAGGAGGTGCAGGTGCAGGTTGCGAAGCGTGCGAAACACGAGATCGCCCATCGAGAAAACGTAGGGTAACGGTTTCGTGTGTAGATACTGTGCGAAGGCGCGAATGTAAAAAGCAGATGAGAGCCGCTGATGCAAGGCTTCAGGTAAATGGTATTTGTGAGAGCAACAGCCGCTGATGCAAGGCTTCAAACTTGAAAGCTAACAAAAGAGAAGAAATAAAAGAGTACCTAACACAATCGCTTCGGAATGTGAACCTAACCGCCGGTACCCAAACAAGAAAACGGATGACGAAGTGTGAGGAGACGAGGTGTGCTAATGAAGCCTGCGTGAGGATGTGAGCAGTTGTGTGCAACGGGTATGATCCGCCATGGTCAGTAGCTTACGTGTTTCTGCGAGCTCGGTGAAAAGAAAACGGTTGTCAGCGCGGATTGGCTGTACTGAACTTGAATTATCCATTTTGGCCAGGCCTCTCGTTATCAGGGTAAAATACCCTTTTTGCACTGACTGGCGGCCGCTTTTTTTTCAGTTACCCTTTCACAGGCAGGGTAGTGGATTTTTTACCCTAGGCCAGAAAGTGTAAGTTTGTCAATACTCTTTGAAAAACAGCATAAGGAACTCTTTACTCTGACTGTACAGTGTACAATCACAGCTATACTGGTACCGAGCGCTCCGTAGCGAGACGAAACACTATACAGGCCCCTGCAAATTGGTTACTCAGCGAGACTCGAACGTGCGACCTACTAGAATCAAGTCAGGGCTTGTTCGTATTCTTGACACCAGTGTCATTTGGTAATTCTGACACTACCAACATTGTTGACATGGTGTCAAAATTTCGCAGAATGGTAGCCAGTAAAATTAGTCGGACATCTTAAGATTTTGACGGAGTCAATACCTACAAGCCAGCCCAAATCGTCGCAAAAAACAATCCCCATCACCCCTAGCGCCCAATCAAGACACACCGTTCCCTAGGTGAAACCTACAGCTAGGTGAGAACTTCGCTAGCTTCGACGTACACAAATCAGCTGAATATACTAGGAGGACCCAACAATCAGCTGCGTCGTTGACAATCCTACGTGCGTTTCGAGTTGACACTGAAGCTACAGTGATTGACACGCATAATGACTAGCGCTTCGGGTTGACACGCATAACCACCTGGTGTCAAAACTACGGACAGGATTTCACAATTCGATCAGCTGAGCCACTAACTATTGAATTTCGGGATTTTTAAATTCTTCATCTACAATATTTTTTAAAAATACCCTGCCCATACAGACTGCTGTATTTTTACCTTGCATTTGTCAGGGGAAAAAAAATTACCCAACGCATCAGGGTTGACTGTACCTAAAACCCTGATTACTAAGGGTGGCCCAAAACGAATTTGAAGCATTGATTTTGGCCAGTATTGCTGCTCAACTCACAAGAATTCACAATAAAGCACAATTTCTCCAGGATTATTTCTCAAGGAAATCATTCTGCAAGATTTGACACGCCAACAAAAAAAATTATTTACTTTCTGCCGAATGCAGAATAATAACCCGGTAACGTGAAGATAGTGTGTAGAGTTAGGAGCCAGAACTAGGAAAGCCCTAGCTAGGCAAAAAACAGTTTAGGCAAAAGAGGGGGTTCACTAGCAGGAATGAGGATACAAATAGCAAACCCTAGAAGGGTTGTACTCGCTATAGAGCACCCTGTCAGTAGATATGCACTGTGGATGCCCGATTGATCCTGGAGAGGGTTACAGGCGCGTTTGCCTGGGGGGTTATGGGCGCACTGGCCCGCTACTTAACAAGCCCTTCTATCCCAATGGTCTAGTGACTGGGATTCTGACATGGTATCAGAGCGGTCTCGGGTTCGATTCCCGGTGTATGCACATGTAGGCCGGTGCCGCTGTGCTTAGTCCTGGGCCTCCCAGTGTGGGGGGGTGTCAGTAGATCTGCACTGTGGATGCCCGATTGATCCTGGAGAGAGTTACAGGCGCGTTTGCCTGGGGGGTTATGGGCGCACTGGCCCGCTACTGAAACAAGCCCTTTTATCCCAATGGTCTAGTGGTTGGGATTCTGACACACCCCACTACAGGCTAGAGCATAACATTCTGACACACCCCCATAGCCAAAATAGGGTGTAATCAGTACAATGAGCAAGCAGATATAGAGCAGAAGTTTACACAGATAAGCAAAGCTAGAGCTAATCACAGCGGACAAGTGAGGAGGAGGAGGAGCTGTAGAGGAAGAGAAGATGGAAGGCAACGACTGAAGCTGCAGAGGCACGGGCACAGGAGCGGCTGACACGGAGGCTACCGAAGCAAGGGCGACGGACTACTGGAGTAACTGGCTCGGCGGCTATAGAAGAGCGGCAGGAGCAACGGACCCACTGACGACTGGTGCAGCAGGCTCACTGGCTACCGAAGCAAGGGCGACGGACTACAGGCGCTGCAGGCGACACGACAGGTACCTCCACACAACCTCCTCCAACTGCCCCACACCCTCGACACACATCCACTGTTCAAACCCTAGCTCCACTCCCACGCACCCCCCTAAAACCCTAAACCCCAGTCTCTTACTCATCCACCCCCCTCAGCGACAGCTGCAGCAGTGGGAGACAAAGGAGGAGGAGAAGGGCACGACGCGCACAACAGACACCCCCACAATCACCACCCCCACAACCACCACCCCCACACTCCTCACCCCCAAACCCTAAAACGGGTGGGATAAGGGCAGGAGCGCGGGGGACGGAGAGGGGGGGGGAAGGCGCGCGCCTCTAGGGCGCCAGAACGGACGGGTGGGGCGAGGGAAGGGGCGTGGCGCGCGCTGCTCCCCTGGGCGCCGCGACGGACGGGCAAGAGAGACGCGCGCGCGGCTCCCCAGGGCGCCGCGACGGCCTGGCGGGGCGCGCGCGGCCTCCTGAGGGCGCCGCGACGAGCTGACGGGGCGCGCGCGGCCTCCCTAGGACGTCGCGACGACCACGCAGGGCGCCCGCTGGCTCCCCAGTGCGTCGCGACCGACGGGCGGAGCGCTCGCGGGCTCCCGAGGGCGTCGCGACGGACGGGCGGGGCGCGCGCTGGCTCCCCCACAGGCGCGCGGCGGGATGAAAAATAAGAGGCCGCGCACCTCGGGGCGCGCGACACAGCGTAAGGCAGCGGAAGCGGTAGGAGGGCCCACAGGCCAGGAGCGTATGTGCTCTGATTCCATGTGAAGATAGTGTGTAGAGTTAGGAGCCAGAGCTAGGAAAGCCCTAGCTAGGCAAAAGAGGAGGTTCACTAGCAGGAATGAGGATACAAATAGCAAACCCTAAAAGGGTTGTATTCGCTATAGAGCACCTCATTACAGGCTAGAGCATAACATTCTGACAGGTAACTGCAATCAAAGCCATTCTAGTCACTCCCAAGCCTTGTTTCTTGTTTATTATTAACCTCGAACCACCCTGCAGTTATATTTCTTATGGAATTTCCCAGTTGCCTGCAACACACTTGATATTCAAATTTACTATGAAGAACACAAACAAGCCATTGTCCTAATTATCAATGAAAGTCCTAAATCCTACCTAAATTTCTACTCGCAACCTTCCAGAGCGTACAGACCTTCGGACCGCCTGCTGCTGGGAGCCTTGCTGAGATTAGTTGAGTGTAACGCGTGTTGACTGTTAGGGTCGCTGCTAGTCGCCGATGCTTCTAACGAGGGAGCAATGCAGCTGCCAGAACCCAAAAATCCGAATCCCGTGAAGACGTCACGGTCGCTGCAGCTTGACGGCAGCGATGAGCTGAAAATGGAATCCATACCCGTTGACCGTCCGCTGAAGCTGACGGTGCCGTCAGAAGAGCTAGGCATGTCTTCCTCACCCAGAGCTACAAACTCTTCCCCCTCAATACTGTCACATCGTAAAAAGTCCTCCCCATCGCCTTGGTCCCAAAATGAAGAGCCAAATTTCTGCTCAGGAGCAATGTCGGGTAAAATTGCAGCCTCCGCCATTTCCGTGACTGCAAAATCTGCTGCCATGAAGAAATCCTCAGCTGTTGCTGTCGTCGCTGGCATGTCCGCTGCTACCGCGAAAGGCGGATTTGCTACCGCTACAGGCGCTTCCACGGACGCATCTAGGCCAAGGCTAACGTCCTCCGTAGTTAAGAAGCATGCTGGGGTGAGCCCTTCCAAATCAGCTGCTGGCCAATCCACGTCAGCTTCAGCTGACGTCGCAATGGCTGCAGACCTTGGCTCTGCTACCTCAGTTTGAAACTCAGTAGGTCCGTTCTTAGTCGCCACTGGAGAAGCAGCTTCCTCCCCCCCGCTGTTGTCACGCATGATACAGTCAGCACTGCGTCCAGAGCCCGTTTGAGCGTCGCTATTTCTTTTAATCACACTGACGGCTGCGTCTGTGCCACCCGCAGTAGCTGCAGCTCGTTCCGCCAGACCCTCCTGCCTGCTTCCACCAGCAGCCGGCTTGATATCGCTCCGACCAGCGCTTTGCTCTCGAAGCGTCAGCGCTGTAGCGTCCGCCGCTTTTTCCGGAATGTCGTCCATCATCAGAGCCTCCTCCCACCAGCTCTTCTTAGGACCGAATTCGCCTCTCTCCACGCCTGCTTTTGCTCGCTGTACCCTTGTGCGCCCATCTCCACCGCATCCAGCCTCTTCCCCATCGACCTCGCACACAGCAGGCCACGTGACCACACTGCATTCCCCTTCCGCGCCTTTCCCCGCCCCCATCCCCCACGGCCGATGCCCTTCCGACTTGGCCTTCTTTCCCACGGGTCCAAACACGCCGAATCCAAACGGATCTCCTCCAGCCTGCGCCATCCAATCATCCTCGTCCACGTCAGCAGCCATGGAATCCGCATCTCGCCAGTCATCAGCGACGGAGCTGAAGGCGCCGTTGCCGTCGGACGCGGCTCGCATCGTCGTCCTGTTCCGCGCGAGAATAGGCTCGGACGACCACGACGCGTTCGAGACAGACGGATGAACGCCGCTACCCGCCGTCTGGATTGGCTGCATTGCGGCATCCGCACCCGTACCCATAGCTGTACCGGTAGCTGTAGCGGTAGCGGCGGGCGCAAAGGAGTTGTCGCGCACATCGCGCAGCTCGCGCAGGTCAGGCGTCACCTCGGCGGCTTCACGGGCCGTCTCCATCGCGGAACGCTTCCGCGTGATGGGAACGGGGGAAGGAGTACAGGGGGAGGGCGCGCAGGCGGAAGGCGCGGAGGGGAGCTGTGGGGCTGTGACGGTACTAGGTCTCGAGGTATCATGAAGTGGTTGGGGCAATTGCTGGTTGAGGAAGGGAAGGTGCAGCAGGGGTTTGGGCTTCTGCGCGGATTTCGATACCGGCGTGCGCGCAAGAGCGGCGGTGGGCGGTGCACCAAGCGGAAAGGGTGAATCAGCCGGAGTCGGGGTAGCAGCGGGCGCTGTTGTAGTGATAGTGATTGCGGGGATGGACGGGACTGGGGCGCGGGAGACGGGGAGTGCGGGGAAGGAGGGCGCGGGGCTTGGCTGGATGATGGCAGCACGGGGGAGCATGAGGGGGGAGAAGACAGAGTTCTGCTGAGGGGCAGACTGGGGCGTACGCGGCACTGGCGTGGATTGCGGCTGCGAATGAAACTGCTGGACACGCGGCTGAACCTGCATCTGCTGCTGCTGCTGCACCTGTTGCTGCTGCTGCACCTGCGGCGACTGCTGCGGCTGAGCTTGTGCCGTCGCTTGGGTGACCGAGTGGGTCTGTTGATTGGACGCGGAAAGCGGGGCGGAGAGCCGAGGCTCCTTGGGAAAATTCAGCTGCGCCTTTGGTCCGCGGATCTCCCGCGCAGCCTCGTCGTACGCGCGAGCCGCCTCCTCGGGAGTGTCGAACGTCCCCAGCCACACTCGCCCGCGCCCGCCAGCGTCGCGGATCTCCGCCGCCCACCGACCCCACGGCCGGTACCGAACGCCGCGATACGGCGCAGGTTGAGCGTTCCTCCCCTCACTCGCGTTCTGCCCGCCACTCGCGTTGCTTCCACCTCCACTCGCGTTCGGTCCACTGCTGTTACCCCGAGCGCCAGCAGCGGATAGTCCTCCGCCGCTGCTGGCGCTGCGACCGACTGCCATCTGGTGCTGCTGCGGCTTGCTCCGCTCCGAAAACGGCGCGCGGCTTCGCACAGGGCTGATTGGGTGCGACCTGCTGCCTGAAACGGTCGACGGGGTGGGATTGGACGGAATGGTGACGGTCTGACCCTGGTGTACGGAAAGCATTTGACGGATGGCCTCCTGAACCTTGCCGGCGATAAGAAACTGCTGGCTGGGAGTTGGCGGCGACGTCAGTGTAACCGGCGGAACGGCTGTCTTTGCGATAGGGGCAGAAACCGTCGCCATGCTTCCGGGGGATGTAGCCTTAGGAGACTCGCTAGACCGTCCGCTAGCGTCCATCTGCCTGGCTGGTTCGATCACGCAGCTGCAGTTGACACAACGAGTGCATACTGGCGTTGTCGCAACGCTGCTATCTACTGCTAAGGGCTGAGGAGGCGTGTCGTGATCGGATGAGGGGTTGCTCGACTGGAGCCACTGATCGAACTCGTCGGCCATTTCTTCAAGAATCGTCTCATGATCGCATGAGCTCATTCCCAGCTGCTAGACTATCGTGCCCTAGCTTGCTTTGCTGGTTTTGGGATGAAATGGGGGATTTCGGTTTGTTTTGCGAATGATGTTTGAGAGGCAAATGGGCGGCTTTTCTTGCTAAAAAACAAGTGGGAAAATGTTGTCGGTGGCGTGTTGAAATTGGCCATTCATCACCTTCCTAGCACCCAGCCCCCCATCAGTGACAACGGATACGGGGAAGCTGGGGGACGGAATCGGTGCGTTTGCGGCGGACATTTGGAGGCGTTTGAGAGGCAGGATGTGGGGCGGGGGGGAAGGGGAGATGGGCGGGAAGGGGGAAGCAGGCTTTCCGCGTAGGCGAGGTGCTTCTGCCTGGGCGTGTGGGCGGAATTAACGAGAGGTGGACGGACACGGCGGTGGGCTGACGCGGCGGAAGGCAGTTTCGCGAAAACTCGGCTGGCATAATCAGCCTGTTGTCGACGGTGGATATTGCTTTGTCAACGAAGGCAGACTCATCCAGCGGTAAACCGGTAACGTAGCGCGTTATCCTGTTACAAGTGCACTGCTAGCGAAACTAAACGAGGGCGCCACGGCAAAGCGGCTTTGCGACGCGTCGCCGGCAAATTGACCACAGTCAGCGCATCGATTGCTTTCTCGATTTGGATTCAGCTGTCCAATCAACTCCCTACCCCTTGCTTGCCGGACACTCACCAAGATGTTGATTGTGGATTTTGGCCACGGCCGGCCGAAAACAGAGGCGAACTGACTGAACGTCCAGTTTACGGCCACGCGTCACAAATTCGTAGGATGAAGTCTACCCGGGCGTTACTAAACTGGTACAATGTGACGAATTTTGCCGGTTTAGCCGGCCATAAATTCTGAAAATAATGATGGCCTGCCCGTGTCGCTGACCCAGATTGGAAACGCCAAGCCGTGGTCTCGTCGGGACAGGTCAAGCTGGCTGAGCCAAGGTCCAAGGTTCGTCCACGTTGACATGTGGACCTGATCAAGGTGTAACGGCGCGACTTCAACCCGTCCGCCGTCGCCTCGCATCTACACCTGGACTTTGAAAAACGCGTGAATGAAGCTCTCATTTTGTGATTATCATGATTAGTAGTACCGTATAAGAAATTCAATACAGAACTTCAAACATTTTAGAGGTGTTTGAATCAGGAATTCGCACTGGTACAGAGAGACCGAGGGTTTGCATACAGCAAAGTCTGTAAGATGGATACCTTCAAAATCCCCTGCAAATTCTGAGGTTGATGAGAGGGCCTAAGGGAGCAAGAATCACTACGCAAACAACTACTGCACGAAAGGTATTGGGCGTGCCAGCCAATAAACTAGTGCAATGCGATTGCACAGCAAATCATAGTAGCATGTAATTTTGTAGTCACAGTATCAGTGCCCGGGCACGGGGAGAAGGGACTCAAACAGATGGGGTTAGCACAGGGTTAGTCTTGCCAGCAGTGCAGTCACTGCACCATAACCACCAGCACCTGTGAGTGCTGCTGTTGCTGCTGCTAATGCTCCTACTGCCTGCTGTATCAAAGCCAGTTGCAAGCAGTTGCTGCGAATCATGCCTTCTTGATGCCTACAGGCCTGCAGTTCACGAGTTGCACTTGTTCTTCTGACAAAAGTGACCTGCTGCATGCCTCATAGCCGAGCTCCGCTTCTTGCCGCTATCCTCCTTGTACTCCTCCAACCTTCCTTTAAACCCCCCAATCCTCCTTCAGACCTCCAAACCTCCTCAGATCTCCGGGTCCCAGTCCCCACTACCGTCCCACTCCTGCAGCTCGACTATACGAATTCGCACAAGGTTCAGCTCATATTTTGATTTCAAAAACCCTTGGATACTGCTCCAGGTTTCCAGTCTTGGTATAGAAGCGCACTACTGCGTCAAATCCCAACCCTGCTTCTACATCCCAACCCTGCTTCAGCTTCCAGCCCTGCTTCAGACTCCCAACCCTGCTTCGGATCCCCAACCCTGCTTCGGATCCCCAACCCTGCTTCGGATCCCCAACCCTGCTTCGGACTCCCAACCCTGCTTCGGATTCCCAACCCTGCTTCGGATTCCCATCCCTGCTTCGGATCCCCAACCCTGCTTCGGATCCCCAACCCTGCTTCAGCTTCCCAACCCTGCAACAATTTCCAAACCCGTTTCAGACTAACTAGCTCCACGGAATGCAGCGGCGGCGCAGCAGGAGTTCGGACATGCGCACATACGGGCACGGCGCCGCAGCTGCTGCAGCAGCTACTGCCATTCGTGTGGGCGCAGTGCAGTGCAGCAGCACAAAGCCCACTCTACGGACTGCAGCGGCCGCGCAGCAGGTGTTCAGACATTCGCCCATACGAGTAGGGCGCCGCTGCAGCTGCGGATGCTGAAGCTGCGGATGCTGAAGCTCGGCCACGATCAGACGTCTGTATGGGCGCAGCGCAGCAGGGCCAAGTGCACTCTACAGACTGCAGCGGCGCCGGAGCAGCCGTTCGGACATGCGCACATATGAGTACGGCGCCGCTGCTGCTGCTGCTGCTGCTGCTGAAGCTCGTCCACGGTCAGACGTCCGTGTGGGCGCCGCAGGGCGAAGTGCACTCGCTCTCCGACTGCCCGCCGAGCGAGAGGAGCGCGCTGCAGCAGGGGAGGGCCATGGGAGGGAAATGAAGAGGGGGGGAGGGGGGAAGGTGAGACAAGGAGCAACAGCAGCAGCAGCAGCAGCAGCAGCAGCAGCAGCAGCAGCAGCAGCAGCAGCAGCAGCAGCAGCAGCAGCAGCAGCAGCAGCAGCAGCAGCAGCAGCAGCAGCAGCAGCAGCAGCAGCAGCAGCAGCAGCAGCAGCAGCAGCAGCAGCAGCAGCAGCAGAAGCTGCTATTGATGATGTTGCTCGCCCGCAGTCGGACGTCCGTGTGGGCGCAGCGCAGCAGGGCGAAGAGCACGTGCTCTCCGACTGCCCTTCGAACTCGGAGAGCGAGAGCAAGAGGAGCACGAGGTGGCAGGGGAGGGCGATGGGAGGGAAAACGACGGGGAGGGAAAACGATGGGGAGGGAAAGATGGGGAAGGAAATATGAGGAGAAAATGTGGGGGGAGGAGGGGGGCGGGAGGTGAGGAGGGAACAGCGAGGGGGGAAAAATGAGGTGGGAAAGATGAGGAGGTAAGTGAGGAGGGAAAGATGAGAGGGGGGAGATGAGGAGGGAAAAGGTGAGGGGGGAAAGAAGAGGAGGGAGAGATGAGGAGAGAGATGATGAGAAACCCTACAGAGGGGCACAATGAAGATAAGGCACGACAGAATCAAGTGCTGGCTCACTCAGTAGACAAGACCAGCGGGTTGAATCAAAACACCAGGAATGAGCAGGGCACCGACCTCAGCTGGTTTTTGAGAATTCTCAAAAACCAGCTAAAGACAGGCGGGTTGAATCGAAACACCAGGAATGAGCAGAGCGCCGACCTCGGCGTGCAAGGAAACAAGCTACGTATGGATAGAATCCCTGGCCTGGCCTGGACACAAGTTCTCCTAACCTCAGGAGACGACATCCCATAATCACCTGCATTTGGAAAGTCTCAGAAGTCCTTAGCAACCCCGCAGTGCACAGATGTACTAAAAGATTAAGAACGAAATAGTACACAGGAGTGGTACATAGGAATCACCTCGCGCCATGCAGCTGACCCTCGTTTTCCCGCCCCCTATTTCCCCCTTTTTCCCCCGCCCACCCAACCCATCCCCCCCTCCCCCTTCTTTCAAGTCCGCATGCCCTCACCTCGCAGCCACGAGTCAATCTCGCCTCGGCGCTCCACGTCCGTTGAGAATTAACGACATAGTGATAAACCACCCCATGGCCACCGCCCCAAGCTCACCTCGCGACCACGAGTCAATCTCTGCTCGGTGCTCCACGTCCGTCCACTTGGCCTCGTGTCCAAAGGGCGGTCGCGCCCTGCACTCAATTGGAGAACGGGTGACGAAAGATTGGGCAGGAGATTTTGGGCGAGCAGAGATTGGGCAAGGAGAGATTGGGCGAGGAGAGATTCGGCGAGGAGAGATTGGGCGGGGAGAGATTGGGCGGGGAGAGATTGGGCGGGGAGAGATTGGGCGGGGAGAGATTGGGCGGGGAGAGATTGGGCGAGGAGAGATTGGGCGAGGAGAGATTGGGCGGGGAGAAAGGTTCCGACGGGATTGGATGATAAGAGATTCCTAAATCTGAATTTAGAGCAATGTCCTTAGAAGCACTGCGCCGTAGAGAAACGGGCCCAGCCTTTGGAGAACAAAAATGCATGCGAGGAAATCTCAGGCACAAATGCCTCTGCATTCACCAAGGAGTTGCCAAACACCCAGATCTGGATATTTCCCTAAATATAAGAAAAAACATGAAGAGAGAGATGAAGATTCCAAACTCCGGAAATTTTCAGGTTCAGACCCTGTCACCATTGACTAACGACTGGCCTAAACCCATGGCCTTCAATTGACCGATTAACTCGGCATCCCAACTCACCCATCATCATCGTCGTATCGTCGATTGCACTCCCGAGCCTCCTCATCCCCGCTAGCGCCAGCTCCGTTAAAGACACAAGGCGGGCCCGCCCACTCCGGTACGCTAGCCTGGAACATGGGCCCTACGCGCGTGTAGCCAACCGGAGACAGCCACGTGCGCTGCAGCAGCCAATGGCCTTTGTGGTCTGCCACGCTGTCATCCCCGTCGTCCCCGTCTCTCCCCCCGCTTCCTCCGCTGCCTCGCTTCTCGAAATTCTGCAACCATGGCTCCTCGTTATTGGCCTTTCCTTTACCGTTCGTTTTCGCACCGCTACCACCGCTTCCGCCGCTGCCACGCTTCTCTCCTCCCCTTCTAACGCCGACCCGCGACTCCGTATCCCCACGTGGCACTAGAACCACGTCGTCACCTCCAGATACACCGGGTTGCACGGGTGCCACGTCCGCTTCCAACAAAACCACGTCATCATCCCCATCCTCGATCAACTGCTGCTCGTCATTCAACGGTGTCCTGACGTCCACGTCAGCTGAATGCGCGTCGTTTACCCGGTCGCAATCTAGCCGCTTATGTGCCGGCTGCTCGACCGCTGTCCGTCTATTCTTCGCGCACTCCTCAGCCCACACGACGACGACCGTCGCTTTCCGCTTCTCCTCCAATTCGCACAGATCGCACACCCACTCGCCGTCCTTGTCCACGTGGACCTCCTCTCCGCGCGACGCAAGACAGCGAATGTGGTAACCCGCAAAACACAAATCGCACAGTACCGTGCTTTCGTTCTCGTCCTCGCCGCAAACCAAGCACGGCGAAGCTGCGGCAGATCCATCGCCAACCCTACCCGGATGTGCGGCAGGGGGTGGCCCTTGAACAGCCCCATCCTCTTCTGTAAACCGCTGGATTTGACACGTGGCGAGTTCCCGTGGACTATCAAAAGTAGGCTCACGTGGCGGTAGGGTCTCGAAGGCGTCGGCGACAGGGACTAGAGCCACCGGAAGCGTCGTGCACATCGCCGGAACGTCGCAAGCCGGCTCCTTGTAGTCGCGATGCGCGTCGAGAAAAGGCCGGGAAAAGCGCTGTTCGCAAAGCATCGTTCCCAATCCAATGTACGCAGACCGTTTGCTTCGGATACAAGAGCAGCAGATTCCAAATCTCAGCTTGGACTAGGCACGAAGGGTCCAATTAATCTCCAAAAAGCCTTGGACTTAGCCAAGCGGCCACAAAAACGTGCGGATCACGCCAAATTTGGCGGATTGCGCAGAGTCGCAGGGTTGCGGAAGGAGGCGCACAACGCGGAACGAGGTAAGAGAAAAAGAGTAGGAACCTAGAAGAGAGGCAGAGCAAAAAATTACAAGATTCTGAAAGGCTGCTTGGCAATCCACTCTTGCTCAACCTTGTTTGTGAGTTCCCATCCCACACCACCGACCGAGAGATTACTGTACGGACCAGGTTCCCCCTGTGGTGCTAGAATCGACGCGAGGGAGAGGGAGGAGAGTCCGAGATAGGGAATCGAGCAGGGGTTTCATCCACAGCACTCACGCGATTCGCGAAGCCGCATTTCGCGAAACGGCGTCTGCGAAGCCTCGCCGATGTCTGACGTTACGCGCCACTGACACGAGCGGTGCAGTGGCACAGCGACACGTGTCAGACGTTACACATTCTTGGGTCACGCAGCTTCGAGTATTGTTTCGCGACCGCAATGTCTTCCCACCGCGGCAGCGGCCAAAAATGGTTTTCGTTTCAAACAACCCCTTTATTCTTCAGGAGAAGACGCATTAAAACAAGCCCCTAAAACTCGAAAGAAGGGGAGGGGGCTTTTGGATATTGCCAGTCAGCGCCTACTCCTCTTCAGCCCAGAAACGCGAACCCTAATTCTTGGCCTAGAAGCTTCAGACCAACAGTGCCTTGCGAAGTGTAGCATTTATAGCAGTACGCGTTAGCGTTGTTAGTGGATGAACGAGAAAGTCGAAGCGAAGTCCTGAACATACTGGTTACCTCGAGACCCACGCGCTTGGTAGGCGCGGATGGCGGAACAAGCAGGTGACGCGAATCCCGGCAATATTCCCGCAGACGTAGACGGCTGCCAGCTGGCCACTTCTGGCGGCAATCCGTCAACGGCACCCAACCAGTCTAACGGTTTTCCGATGGAAGAGCCAGCAGACGGGCAAGGAGACGCGGACGTGAAACCTGCGAGTCGGGAGCCACGTGTCGTTCGGGAAATTGACGTTTTCCTGATGCCACGTGTTGACGATCAAACCAAGGCATGTGTTGAAGTTCGATTTTTCCGTGAGCGACCATCGACAACTTCACTACGTGTTTTCTATTCTCAGACCACCCGCGCTTGGTCCAAGCGTCCCCCGTCCGGTTCTGGCACAACCCACCCACTGTCATATCATCTGAGACTTGCCCTAGTCGTTTCCTCGTGAAACGACCATGCTCGTGCCTTTCCGAGCATGCTCATGCTCATGCTCATGCTCATGCTCATGCTCACCTCTCCGTCTTGCCTCTCTTTGCCTGACTCCACACCATCCCCCATGCCTGCGCCGTCCACCCACTCCCATGCCCGCACCATCCACCCACTCCCATGCCCGCACCATCCACCCACTCCCATGCCCGCACCATCCACCCACTCCCATGCCCGCACCATCCACCCACTCCCATGCCCGCACCATCCACCCACTCCCATGCCCGCACCATCCACCCACTCCCATGCCCGCACCATCCACCCACTCCCATGCCCGCACCATGCCCCATGCCTGCACCATGCCCCATGCCCGCACCATGCCCCATGCCCGCACCATGCCCCATGCCTGCACCATGCCCCATGCCCGCACCATGCCCCATGCTCCATGCCCGCACCATGCCCCATGCTCCATGCCCGCACCATGCCCCATGCCCGGACCATGCCCCATGCCCGATGCCCTATGCGCCATGCCCCATGACCCATGCCCTCTGCCCCACGCCCCAGCGCAGCTATACCTGTTCCAGTACCCCCTGCGGCCTGCCTGGCGCCCCTACGGACTGGAGGAGCGGTGCCAGGAGGTGAGGATGGGTGATAGATGAGTGGTGGGAGGAGATGATTGGTGGGAGGAGATGAGTGGTGGGAGGAGATGAGTGGTGGGAGGAGATGAGTGGTGGGAGGAGATGGGTGGTGGGAGGAGATGAGTGGTGGGAGGAGATGAGTGGTGGGAGGAGATGAGTGGTGGGAGGAGAGGTGTCAGGAGGTGACATGAGTGACGGATGGGATGTTATTGATTTGTTTAGGCGTGCCAAATGCGTGTGAAGTGAATCTCAAGGCATGTCTAATGCATGCGAATTCATGTCAAAACACATGGCGAATCCACTCCAAATGCATGTGGTGTGGATGGATTGCAGTGCATGTCCAATGCATTCAAATGCATGGCAATGGCATGCATGTTTCATTGTGTATGTGTAAGCACTCGCCTCAATAATCGTCTCAGTTCGCGCGGCTCTTATCTGTTTCGTGTGTAAGGACTCACGTATGTACAGCACGCATTCTCATACGTTTCTTTCTATGTTACATTTGCATTCCATCTTTCTTGTGATTGATGCGGGTGTGGCATGGCATGGCAGATCCGGGTGCGGCCGTTGCAATCACGCGTGGAGGTGGATCTAGCCATCGATACCACCGACTCCTCCTATGACCACGACTCGGCAGACAACCTCAAGCAAACCACCCAGGCACGTGTTGTTCACGCGTTGACTGACACAAGCAGACCACTCAGGTGGTGTCCATGTCATGGGTGCAATCACGGGTGGAGGTGGGTCTAGCCATCGATACCACCGACTCCTCTTATAATCACGAGTCTGCAGACAATCTCAAGCAGACCATGCAGGTGCTGTTTATCCCGTGACTAGAAAAAAATGACCATATTCATCTTGCCGTACGGTCATAGACAAAAGCAACTCCTCTTACAATCATGTCTCAGCATGAAGTTACAGACATAAGCAGGTTTTGTTCATTCTGTAACCAACAAATAGGTTTATGGAACCAGGTGACTTTTGAGTCGACTCAAAGGTCATCACCTCGTTAGAACGACATAAGCAGGAAACTTCACGCTGGTTTTGTTCAAGGATCAAGGTTCATCGTGGAGTAGCTGCAAACCTGTAGAAATCACTTAAGCAATAGGAAACTTCACGCGGATTTGTTCATACTGTAACCAACATATAGCTTTATGGAACCCAGCTGCGACTGTATTTATGGAGAGTTGGCAAACACCGCATGACATGCTCCTTCCCACCCCTCTTTCATGTCGTCCTCCTCCTCCATCGCTCCACCTCGCTCTACCTTCAAAGCGTCTCAAAACCCAATCATTTCTCCGCTCCCTCACTTTCTCCCTTGCTCCCCCATCACTCTATCCTCTTTCCTGCCAGACGCTCACCTCGTCTCAGCTGCATCTGGCCACCAACTATGCTGTGGGCATGCTGCAAGGCGACCAGGTGTGTGCATCACTCGCTTGCTTGCTTGCTTTCCTTCTTTATTTCTTTTGCTTATGAACCTGCCCTTCTTATGAGCATGCTGCCGGCATGCTGCAAGACGACCAGGTGTGTGCCTTGTCTGCTGGCTGGCTGGCTGGCAGGCAGGCAGGCTTGCGTGCTAGCCTGGTTGCAAACGTCCATGCTCAAATGCTTGTTCTTTTTCTTGCCTTGCACTGTGCCCTGCTAGTGACTCTCACTCGCTGCTATCTCTCTCTCTCTCTCGCGCCATGCCGATCCAATCTGGCTGCCTATAAACCATGCAACAAGGCATTCAAAATAGCAGAAAGAGGTGCGTCCCTTGTTGGGCTGCCCCGTACATGCCTGCTCTACCCCTCCCTCTTTCTTCCCCCCACAGCTACATCTGAATCCGATACATGCAGTGGTGCAGCTGTGGCTGCCACTAGCTTACCTTGACCATCGCAAGGGGGGGATCGCTTACCTTACCTGTGTCTGTTTCTCCCGCCCTCTTTACCTTCCCTATGTTGGAAAAGTCGCGCCCAGCGCACTATATGCAAGCGTATATACGCTTGCGTATAGTGCGTTATGCGCTTCGTGAGTGACTTTGAAAGTCGCAGAAAGTACGCTGCCTGGGCAGCAAAAGGTTTTTACCGGGCAGACGAAAAAAACCGCCGAAGGAGGGGGGGGGGAGTGGTGGTTTTACCGAATTTCATATATTGAAAAAACCCACCATTCTCAACTACTCTAAGCAAGCAACATGCATCTCTCCTACCCCACCCCCTACTCCCACCCTCTACTCCCCCCGTCCCTTCCTTCCTCCTCTACTTGTACTCATCCTCCAGCTCATCCTCCTCCCCCTCCTCATCCTCCTCCAGAACCTCGTTGTACCCTTCCGGCAGGGAGGCCTCAGGGATGTTCCCCGGGAGAACCGTCACCCACTCAGCCCCCTTGTGCCAGTTGCGCACAATGTTCCAATTGTGCGCAACATACACGAGGTCCCGACACTTCTCGGACCCCAACCTGTTGCGCTTGGCAGTGTGGATCGATTCCCACACTGCCCAGTTCCTCTCACACGCCGATGCGGACACTGGCTGAGAGAGAACGCGGCAAGCGAGCGTTGTTAGCTCGGGGTGCTCCGTCCCGTGCCACGTCCACCACTGGACGGCCGTCTTCTTACCGGCCTTCACGAGCTCACGGTCAGAGATGGCGTCGGGTAGGCCGAAGCTCCCCTGAAGGGTGTTGAATGCCGTCAGGCCGTCCTGGATGACGTGGGATGCGCGCAGCTCCTCGCCATCCTTGCGCGTGACGGTCCGCCCTGCGTAGTGACGAGCGACAAACGCTTTGAAGACGCGAGTACACTCCAGGTCGGTGCGGAAGATGCCTTCCTCTTGGTTGACCGGGTTGAGGATCCGGCCAACCACGTGCATGGCACACGCCATGCTATGGTCCCAGCGCTTTTGGACGATGTTGGTCACCTCCGTGCGTTCACTGCTGGACAGCACCAATCCCGCCTCCTCCTCCTCCAGCTTCGCATTGATGTCTTCCGTGAGCTGCAGCATCAGATCGTACATCCTGCCCATCATGCCCTTGGCCCCCTACGAACTTAAGCTTGCAGTGCCGGCATATGCGGAGAGTACGCTCAGGACCATTCGAGGTACCTTCGGTAGAGGTAAGGAAATGCTTAAAAATAACATGGGTGTTCACAGGAACATCCTCGTCGTCCGCCATGGTCGCGTCATTCGAAACACTAGGAGCCTCACTAGTGGCACTTGCGGGAGTACCAGAAGGAGTCGACATCAAGTGCAGGTGAGCGGGAGTGTTGAGAGAGAATGAACGAGAGAGATAATACAGATGACGAAAATGAGAGCTTACCTTATAGTCCAGGATGTGGTTGAACCACCTACGCTGGTTGACGACATTCGTGTTTGTGTGTTGGAGTCGCGCGATAGCATAGGGTGCAGTGCGGTTCAAAATTTCCCACGTCCCCACATTTTGACAGGTGTGGGTGACAATGTGGTTGGGACGTGCGTACAAATTGGGGTGGGACGTGCGTACATTTTGAGTCGCGTCGCACATTCGCAATTCGTGCGCGACTATTGAAATCTGGTTTTTTTTCGGGTCAGCCCGAACTTTCGCCAACGAATATACGTACGACTTGCGTACACCGTATATCCGTAAACGACTATACGGAGTGCGCTTATGGTTTCTGGCGACTTTTCCAACATAGTACCTTCCCCTTCCCCCCACCCACCTGCTGATTCCCCCCCACAGCCAAACCTGAATCCATCCCCTGCATGCGGTGGTGCAGCTTTTGAGACGTCTCAAAAGTCGCTGATTCCCCTCCCCCCCACAGCCAAGTCTGAATTCCCTGCATTCGGTGGTGCAGCTGCTGCGGCCGTCCTGGATTAGATTACTTGGACAGTGCAGCAGATAAGGCGGAGGGGGGGACGCACTCACTTGTGCCTACTCCCTCCTTCCTCTTGCCCACCCCCCCACCCCGCTGCTCCCCCCCCCTCCCCCTTCCCTGACTCCAACCCCAGCTTCACTTGAATCCCCTTCCCCACAGCTTCACTTGAATCCCCTGCATGCAGTGGTGCAGCTACGGCCGTCACTGGATTACCTGGACAGTGCAGCAGACAAGGCGGAGGGGGGGATATTGATCTGTGTCTGCTCCCGCTTGCTTCTGTTTTCTCTTCCCTGCTCTTACCCCCCCCCTCCACCCCCCTTCCCCACAGCTTCATCTGAACCCGTTGCATGCAGTGGTGCAGTTACGGCCGTCACTGGATTACCTGGACAGTGCAGCAGACAAGGCGGAGGGGGGGATATTGATCTGTGTCTGCTCCCGCTTGCTTCTGTTTTCTCTTCCCTGCTCTTACCCCCCCCCTCCACCCCCCTTCCCCACAGCTTCATCTGAACCCGTTGCATGCAGTGGTGCAGTTACGGCCGTCACTGGATTACCTGGACAGTGCAGCAACAGACAAGGCGGAGGGGGGAATACTCATCTGTGTCTGCTCCCCAAGGTGACTTTTGAGTCGACTCAAAAGTCACCTTGGAATACTGATATGTGTCTGCTCCCCATTTCCACTCTCTTCTCCCCCCCGCTCGTATCGTCCTTCCCCGCCCCTCTTCCCCCTCTCCCTCTCCCTCTCCCTCTCCCCCCACAGCTTCATCTGAATCCGTTACTTGCAGTGGTGCAGCTGCGGCCGTCACTATATTACTTGGACAGTGCAGTGCAGCAGAGAAGGCGGAAGAAGGGAATCACTGACTTGTGTGTCCGCTTTCCCCTTCCTCTTTCCCTTTCCCCGCACCCACCCACATATCTGCACCCCCCAGCTTCATCTGAACCCGTTGCATGCAGTGGTGCAGCTACGGCCGTCTTTAGATTACTTGGACAGTGCAGCAGACAAGGCGGAGGGGGGTCGTGGCTGACTTGTGTCTGCTCTTTTCGTCCTCTTGCTCCCCCCCATCTGCTCTTATCCCCTTCCCCCTTTTCCACAGCTCCATCTGAATCCCCTGCATGCAGTGGTGCAGCTACGGCCGTCTTTAGATTACTTGGACAGTGCAGCAGACAAGGCGGAGGGGGGCAAGGGCAAGAAGAAGGGGGCAGGGGAGGCGGCGGAGGAGGAGGAGATGGGGGATGGGGAGGATGGGGAGGCGGGGCCTGTGGCTCTGGAGGTAAGAGAATGGGTTGAAGGTGGTTGAAAGGTGGTCAAGGATGGTTAAAAGGGTGTGAGTAGTGACGAGGGATAAAAGGGAGATGGATATGGGATTAAAGGGGGATGAGGAATACGTGTGAAAGGGTGAATAGGCGAGGCAGTGACGGGGTTAGTGTGTGGGTTAGGGGAAGAGCAGTGGAGGAGAGGGGAGGAGGGGATGATCGATGTGTGTCGTCGATTCAAAGTCATCCTTGCTGTGTGCTTGCATCGTTGCCCCAAGGCACCCAATTCCATAAACCCGTGCCATGTTGGTGCGACTTTTGAGAATTCTCAAAAGGGCGGGCACTGCCTGAATGCACGTATCGTATCGTATCGTATCGTATCGTACGCTGTGTTGAGTTGAATTTGAACCACACCGTGCAGTGCAGGTGAGCTTGAAGAAGAGGAGCCAGAGGAGCAGGAGGAGATGCGCCGGCAGTCGTGCTTCAAGGCGCCTCCCAGCTAAGGATGCACACCGTATGCATGCTGTTTTGAAACCCCACTGTAACCCCCACTGTAACCTGACCCCCGCCCACCTGCAGGTGAGCTTGAAGAAGAGGGAGACAGAGGAGCAGGAGGAGATGCGGCTGCAGTCATATGCGCACATCCATGCCCTGCGCGAGAAGGAGGTCAGTGGAGTTTCTGCCATTGTGAAACCAATGTATTTGTATCCGTATTTGCATGTGTACTTGTATTTGTATTTGTATTTGTATTTGTATTTGTATTTGTATTTGTATTTGTATTTGTATTTGTATTTGTATTTGTATTTGTATTTGTATTTGTATTTGTATTTGTATTTGTATTTGTATCCATATTTGTATTTGTATTTGTATTTGTATTTGTATTTGTATTTGTATCCATATTTGTATCCGTTTTTGCACCTGTATTCCTATTCATATTTTTATTTGTATTCGTATTTGGTTGTATTTGTATTTGTATTTGTATTTGTATTTGTATTTGTATTTGTATTTGTATTTGTATTTGTATTTGTATTTGTATTTGTATTTGTATTTGTATTCGTATCTGTATTCGTATTCGTATTTGTACTTGTATTTGTATTGATGTTCGTATTCGTGCTCGCATCTATGGCTGTACACGTGAATCACTGCCATGCAAGTTTGAGTGAGAGGCATTTGCTGCCCACACACACCCCCCTCTGCTGCCCAAACAGCATTCCGCATTCCGTATCTCTCCCCATTCCGCTCCCCGTATCTCACCTTATTTCTCTCCCCATTCCTGCCCCCGTTCTTTTCCACATTCCTCTTCCCATACCTCTTAGTATTCGTCTCCTCATGCCTTTCTCCATATCTCCCATCCATCCCATACACCCCACACCTCTCATTATTCGTCTCCTCATGCCTTTCTCCATGTCTCCCATCCATCCCGTACCTCCCATGCCTCTTCTCTTCCCCTTTCCAGCCGTGGCAGCAGCTGCAGGCCTTCTCAGCGTCGAGCCACGAGGCAGCAGCAGCAGCGCTTCTTTACCCGCTTCACCCCTTCCCATGTCTCCTCCCATTTTGCCTCCCGTTTCTCCTCCCTTCCCCTGCCCTTTCCCTTTCCCTTTCCAGCCGTGGCAGCAGCTGCAGGCCTTCTCAGCATCACGCGAGGAGGCAGCAGCAGTCCTTCTTTACCCGCCTCATCCCTTTCCATGTCTCCTCCCATGCCCTGCTTTACACTTGTGCAGCCGTGGCAGCAGCTGCAGGTGTTCTCAGCATCAAGCGAGGAGGCAGCAGCAGTGCTTTTTTACTCGCCTCACCCCTTTCCATGTCTCCTCCCATGCCCTGCTTTACACTTGTGCAGCCGTGCCAGCAGCTGCAGGCGTTCTCAGCATCAAGCGAGGAGGCAGCAGCAGTGCTTCTTTACTCGCCTCACCCCTTCCCATGTCTCCACCCATGCCTCCTCCCATGCCCTGCTTTGCACTTGTGCAGCCGTGGCAGCAGCTGCAGGCCTTCTCAGCATCGAGCGAGGAGGCAGCAGCAGTGCGGGCGCGCATGCTGGTGGGGGGAGGCGGGGCAGGAGGGGAGGGGGGCAAGAAGCAGGGGGGGGTAAAAAAGGAGGAGGGTGCGATGGAGGTGGATGGAGCAGTGAAGGCCGAGAAGGGGCAACCAGAGGGAGAGAGGGAAAGGGTGGAAGGTGGAGGAGCGGGAGTGGGGCCAGGGGAAGGGGTGGTTATGGATGGGGAAGGGGAGGAAGCAGCTGGTGCTGTTGCCGATGTGCCTTTCACCCTCCCTCAGTATGTTCCTTTCTCTTCACAGTTGCTCCGTTCAAAAGTCACTCCAATATCGTTTGCCTTTCCTCACTCCCTCAGTGTGTGCCGTTCTCACTCCCGTTGTGTTTTATTGTGCACTCCCCTCTCTCATTTTCTGTCTGGTAGCAATTCCCCCCTGAGCCCTTCCAAACCCCTCCCTACTTCCCCCCCAGCCCTACCCACGCACTCTTCATCCCTTCCCCTGATCCCCTCCCAACCACCACCCCCCCAGTGCGGCCTACGTCCAAGCGCTGATGGGTTCCTGCCTCTCGCACTCCTCCTAAAGTCCCCCCACCTTCCCCGCTACCCACACCTTCTCTCCCACTCCCCCGACCTCCCCCTCCCCCCACCAGTGTGGCGTACATTCAAGCGCTGGTGGGGTCCTGCCTCTCGCACTCCTCCTTAAGTCCCCCCCTGCCCGTCCCCCCTCTTCCCCTTCCCCTCCCCCTCCCCCCCCCAGTGCGGCGTATGTTCAAGCGCTGGTGGGGTCCTGCCTCTCGCACTCCTCCGCCGCTGCTGCTGAGATCCGAGGCATCTCAGGCCTCTCCAAGAGGTGAGGGGTTTGTCCAAGAGGTGAGGGGTTTGTCCAAGAGGTGAGGGCCGTTCAAGAGGTGAGGGCCGTTCAAGAGGTGAGGGCGGTTCAAGAGGTGAGGGCCGTTCAAGAGGTGAGGGCCGTTCAAGAGGTGAGGGCCGTTCAAGAGGTGAGGGCCGTTCAAGAGGTGAGGGCCGTTCAAGAGGTGAGGGCCGTTCAAGAGGTGAGGGCCGTTCAAGAGGTGAGGGCCGTTCAAGAGGTGAGGGCCGTTCAAGAGGTGAGGGCCGTTCAAGAGGTGAGGGCCGTTCAAGAGGTGAGGGCCGTTCAAGAGGTGAGGGCCGTTCAAGAGGTGAGGGCCGTTCAAGAGGTGAGGGCCGTTCAAGAGGTGAGGGCCGTTCAAGAGGTGAGGGCCGTTCAAGAGGTGAGGGCCGTTCAAGAGGTGAGGGCCGTTCAAGAGGTGAGGCTTCTCCAAGGGGTGTGCTGGGCTGTGAGCGTGACTGAAGCGAAAGTGACCATGACATGTGTGACTATGAGATATTGTGGCTGTGAGTTGTGTAACTTTATGGTGTACGATTCCCCATGACATGTGTGACCATGACATGTGTGAGTGTGACCATGACATGTGTGAGTGTGACCATGACATGTGTGAGTGTGACCATGACATGTGTGAGTGTGACCATGACATGTGTGAGTGTGACCATGACATGTGTGAGTGTGACCATGACATGTGTGAGTGTGACCATGACATGTGTGACCATGACATGTGTGAGTGTGACCATGACATGTGTGACCATGACAATTCTGAAGCTCGTCTCTCAGTTCCCCACCCTCCACTTCTCGGCTTCATGAAGTTGCTGCTCTTCTCTTCCTTTTCTGCCCCCTTTATTCCCCCTTCTCCACTCCCTCCCTCCCTCGTCCTCCCTTAACATACATGTACTTGGATTCCCTACCTCTGGTGCGCCGATTGCTAGCAGCCTACCGCTTCTCTCTTACGCGGCAAAACACACCACCATCTTAAAGTTCGGCCGGCTAATGAAGCTGCCACTCCATCCTGTGTTTCCCCCCCTTTTCCCCAGCTACCTTGATTCTCTGCCTCTGGAGCGCCGATTGCTAGCCCTGCTGTCGCGCGCCAAGACACACATATTCCAGTTCGACCGACTGATGAATCTGCTGCCAGCAGGCACTCAGCAGCAGCAGGTGCTGGCGCTGCTGCAACACAAGGCGCTGCTGGTGCAGGTGAGGTGGGGGGGAGGGAAGTGAGGGAGTTCTTATGGTTGCTGCCAGCAGGCACAGAGCAGCAGCAGCAGGTGCTGGCTCTGCTGCAGCACAAGGCGCTGCGCTGCTGGTGCAGGTGAGGGGAGTTGCTGCCAGCAGGCACGCAGCAGCAGCAGGTGCTGGCGCTGCTGCAACGCAAGGCATTGCTGGTGCAGGTGAGGTGGCAAAAAGTATTTGTAGTGTGCAGATGGATGGGGATGGGGATGGGTGGGGATGGGGATGGGGATGGGGATGGGGATGGGGATGGGGATGGGGACGGGGATGGGGACGGGGACGGGGACGGGGACGGGGACGGGGACGGGGACGGGGACGGGGAGGGGGACGGGGAGGGGGACGGGGACGGGGACGGGGACGGGGACGGGGACGGGGACGGGGACGGGGACGGGGACGGGGACGGGGACGGGGACGGGGACGGGGACGGGGACGGGGACGGGGAGGGGGACGGGGAGGGGGAGGGGGAGGGGGAGGGGGACGGGGACGGGGACGGGGACGGGGACGGGGACGGGGACGGGGACGGGGACGGGGACGGGGACGGGGACGGGGACGGGGACGGGGACGGGGACGGGGAGGGGGACGCGGAGGGGGACGGGGAGGGGGACGGGGAGGGGGACGGGGAGGGGGACGGGGACGGGGACGGGGACGGGGACGGGGACGGGGACAGGGACGGGGACGGGGACGGGGACGGGGACGGGGAGGGGACGGGGACGGGGACGGGGACGGGGACGGGGACGGGGACGGGGACGGGGACGGGGACGGGGACGGGGACGGGGACGGGGACGGGGACGGGGACGGGGACGGGGACGGGGACGGGGACGGGGACGGGGACGGGGACGGGGACGGGGACGGGGACGGGGACGGGGACGGGGACGGGGACGGGGACGGGGACGGGGACGGGGACGGGGACGGGGACGGGGACGGGGACGGGGACGGGGACGGGGACGGGGACGGGGACGGGGACGGGGACGGGGACGGGGACGGGGACGGGGACGGGGACGGGGACGGGGACGGGGACGGGGACGGGGACGGGGACGGGGACGGGGACGGGGACGGGGACGGGGACGGGGACGGGGACGGGGACGGGGACGGGGACGGGGACGGGGACGGGGACGGGGACGGGGACGGGGACGGGGACGGGGACGGGGACGGGGACGGGGACGGGGATGGGGATGGGGACGGGGAGTCCGTGAGAAGGAAGGTACAGGTAGGGCAAGGGGAGGGGTTGAACCGAGGGCTCAAATAGGGGTATGGCTCATTCCCCCCCTTCTCCCCTGTTGTCCTGATCTTCCCCCTCTCCCCTCACCCTCCTCACTCCTCTCACTCCCCACCTGTGTGCTGCCGCTGCCCTTCCCTTTGCATCATTCCCCCCACCCCTCCATTCCCCTCCCCAATCCCGCACTCCGTTTTCTCCCTCTCCTCTCCCCTCATCTAACAGGGCTGCTGGGTGGCGCCCAGCTCAATGCGCTGCCCCGTGGGCCCCACCTGTGTGCTGCGAGACCTGCTGCTGCTGCTATTCACCAAGCACCGCGTCATTCGCCAGGAGCATGTTGCACACCTCAAGGTGCATGCTTATTCTGGGTGCATATTTTTATTTTGTTCTGTATTGCGGGTGTGGTGTTGATGGTAGTTGCTTTCAGCGAACGAGGCTAAGGCTAAGGCCAAGGCTAAGGCCAAGGCTAAGGCCAAGGCTAAGGCTAAGGCCAAGGCCAGCGATCCATCCTTGCATGCCTTAGCCTCGTCACTCCAACTCAATCACCTGGCTGGCGATTTTTGAGAACTCTCAAAAATCACTGGCTGGCTCGACCCACTTGTTGCACCCCTGTCCTTCCCCGCCAGGCACCAAAAAAACTGATAAGAGAGTTATTCCTGTCATAGGCATTCCCAAGGGCCTGCTGTCATAGGCGTTCCCAAGGGCCTGCTGTCATATGCTTCATGCGTTGCCCTCTCACTCTACCACCCACGTCTACCTATTTCCACTCACCTCTACCCACCCATCCTATCAGCAGGTACCAAGGAGCTATTGTAGGAGTTATCCCCTCTATCCCCTAGCAGTTATCGAGGGAGTTACTCCTGCCCATAGGAATTTCCAGGAGGCCATTGCCAATCAGTCGATGCATTGCCAATCAGTCGATGCATTGCCAATCAGTCGATGCATTGCCAATCAGTCGATGCATTGCCAATCAGTCGATGCATTGCCAATCAGTCGATGCATTGCCAATCAGTCGATGCATTGCCAATCAGTCGATGCATTGCCAATCAGTCGATGCATTGCCAATCAGTCGATGCATTGCCAATCAGTCGATGCATTGCCAATCAGTCGATGCATTGCCAATCAGTCGATGCATTGCCAATCAGTCGATGCATTGCCAATCAGTCGATGCATTGCCAATCAGTCGATGCATTGCCAATCAGTCTATGCATTGCCTTCTCACTCTACCCACCACTACCCACCACTACCCACCACTACCCACCTCTACCCACCTCTACCCACCTCTACCTACCTCTAACCTTCTCTCACCAGGTTCCCAAGGAGCTACTGAGGGAACTAGGTATTCCCAGGGAGACACTACCATTTGCTCCATTCCTTTCCTTGTCATTCTACACTGCTCCGCCCACCTATACTCAACCTCTACTCATCATTTCTTTTCTGATCCTTTCCATGCTCATCCTTATATCCATCCTTCACCAGGTACCCAAGGAGCTGCTGAGGGAACTATTACTATCCATTGGCATTCCCAGGGGGCCCAACACAGGCTGGGAGTTTGCCGAACCAACGGACCAGGCTTTCCTCGACTCCCACCCCGCCATAGCTAAGGAGCAGCTTCGGCGCTGGATGGCTGCCGAGCCTGCGATCCTCCGAGCCTCGCGCGCCCTCTCCCTGGCCTCCATGGCTGACGTGGCAGCAGCTTCGGCAGCCGCTGCTGCGGCCAAGGCTGCTGCTGGTGGGGGAGGGGCAGGTAGGGGCGGGGGAGGCAGGGCCGGGCCTGGGGGAGGCTTGGGAGCGCCCAAGGCTGGTCTGGCAGGCCGTGGGGCAGGTTTGGCAGGACGAGGGGCGGGATTGGCGGGGCGAGGAGCAGGTCTGGGAAGAGGTTCGGGCGGTCCGAGCCTGCAGGCTGGTGCTGTGGCAGGGACGGCAGGTGCAGCAGCGTGTGCAGTAGTAGCTGCAGCAGCAGGGGGGGGGGGGAGCAGGAGCAGCAGGAGGCACAGTGGGGGCGGTGGGGCAGAGCTTGAGCGCTGAAACACGGGAGGCACTTCCCGGTGCTCTACGGAAGATATTCGCCCAGCACCACGTGTGCAGGTAGATGCATGTGATTTGAAATGACCCTCTTGGTATGCCTTGCATGGCTGGGATGGGATGGGAAAGGGATGGGATGGGAAGTGATGGCTCTTGACTCGCTCCTCTTGGTAGACCCATCCTCTGCATTAGATTTTAGGTGCTCTCTCACAAGTCGCCCCCACCCTTTTCCACCCCTCCCCACCATTTCCAGTCTGCCCTTTCTGTGTCAGCAGCTGCAGCGAGCAGCAGAGGAGCAGCAGAGGGCGGCAGGGGCGTCACCTCAGGCTGTAGCAGCAGCTGTCGCGGCAGCCAAGGCTGCGAAATCTCCAGCCAATGAGCTCGCGTCAGCTGTCTCAGAGGTGCTTTCTGGGGTTTTTGTTGCTTGCACGTTGTGGTTCGCTTGTTCATGCTCACTCATGCACTTAAACACATTGCATTGCATGCCTCCGTTGGACTGTTCCTTTGAATGCGATTAACTGTCAAAATTTGAATTACCATGTTTTGTGGTTCACCTATTTACGACTATTCCTGCAGCTATCTCCTCCCAGGCGTGCATGCACTCACTGCCACACGTCTGACATTGTCTCTGAATTTCACTCATCTGCCACACATCAACAGACATTGACTCACACTTACACACTGTCTCTCATTGTGACCCGTTTGTAATTTGTTGTCTCACATGGTCACACATTGTTCACTCATTGTCTCACATTGTCACACATTCTTCACTCGTGGTCTCACATTGTCATACATTTCTCACTCATTGACTCACATTGTCTCATATCGTCACACATTCTTCACTCATTGTCTCATATCGTCACACATTCTTCACTCATTGTCTCATATCGTCACACATTCTTCTCTCATTGTCTCATATCGTCACACATTCTTCTCTCATTGTCTCATATCGTCACACATTCTTCACTCATTGTCTCATATCGTCACACATTCTTCACTCATTGTCTCATATCGTCACACATTCTTCACTCATTGTCTCATATCGTCACACATTCTTCACTCATTGTCTCATATCGTCACACATTCTTCACTCATTGTCTCATATCGTCACACATTCTTCACTCATTGTCTCACATCGTCACACATTCTTCACTCATTGTCTCACATTGTCATACAGCTCTCACTCATTGTCATACATTAACACAACTTTGTTATGCATTGTCCTGCATTGTCATCAAATGTCCCACATTGTGTCGCCCAGTCCCACATGATCTCACATTGTCACATGGTGCCATCCTCTCACATTGTCACATGGTGCCATCCTCTCACATTGTCACATGGTGCCATCCTCTCACATTGTCACATGGTGCCATCCTCTCACATTGTCACATGGTGCCATCCTCTCACATTGTCACATGGTGCCATCCTCTCACATTGTCACATGGTGCCATCCTCTCACATTGTCACATGGTGCCATCCTCTCACATTGTCACATGGCGCCATCCTCTTTCATGGTTACTACAGCCTCTTAGTTATCAAATGCCCTTTGTCATGTGCCTTTTTAGCCTGCTGCTTTCCTGCTTGCTTTTGCCTGCATAACTTAACCCAATCACATGCCTGCGTGCCGTGGCCCATGCAGGTGGCCACCAGCATCAACGGAATATACTTCCTCCCGACACTCAATGATCCAGAAGTCGATCCCTTCAGGTGCTCCCTTTTTCTTTGAGTTGATGTTTTCTCTTTTTTTCTTTTCCGCTTTCTCTTTCACGTGGTCTGTCCCATGTGCTTTATGAACCTCATCTAGATAATTTCTTTCACATGCTTTCTCGTTTCTCTTTTCTTTTTCTTTTTCTTTTGGTTGCCATCATGTGCCTTCTCCCATGTCCTTCTCAGCTTTCCTGCATCTACCAGGCAAGGGTAAATCAAAATGCACAACCCTCTCAAAACCACTGAAAGAATGTGTTGTAACCTCTTCCCTCACTCCCTCCCACCATCCCAATGCATGGCACAGGGAGGTGGTGATTGCGCTGCTGAGAGCCAAGGGCGCAGGGGGGGTGGGGCTGAAGCGAACAGAGATAGTGGAGGCCACGCGCATTGCACTTAAAGCCCAAGTGCCCGCTGCAACATACCAACGGGTGAGCCTGCCTTCCTCCCTCCCTGTGCATTGCATCTCTCCTTATTCTCCTCCGCTGTTTCCTTTCAAGCTCAACGCCTCTATTCTTGTTTGGTTCGACCTTTGTACGGGCAGGTTCTGAAGGAGTTGTGTGTCACTAATGGTGCGGCATGGGTGCTGAAACCAGGGGATGGCAGCACAGTGTGAACTCCACGTTGTGCTGCGCTGGTGGTGCCTTTGTAAACCACATGCAGTGCTGAATTCTTGCAACAATGTGCAAGCTGTGCAAGTGGGGGCACGTGTGTGTAAAACACCAGAATAAGAGCATTTCTGCCATTTGCATTCATCACTAACTCAGTGCATCCTGATGTAAGGAAGCTGCCTACACAAATGAAGCAGTGAAAAAAATGGAACTGGTTGTTTTTCTTTGACAATATAGTCTTTCATGTGATAACCTGGCTGCAGTTGCACAACTTGTTCCAGACACAGCCAGACTTGTAAGCAATAAGTACATATACACATTGCTACACATGGTTAGCACTACAGGGATCAAACAAGACCTACACAAGAGCAAATATTTTACAAGACCACACCTAGTCAATGCTGCCAGCCACACCAGAAGCATTCACTTGCACCAGATACGGTACATTGACCACTCCTTTTGTCACATCTGACTTCAAGGCCGCCAGGGAGGCCTCACTGCAGCCACCCTTGTCACCCTCACATTGCCTTTCTTCCCCTCAGATTTCACAATGTCAACTCTCTCCTGCCTCCTCCTGATTTGTTGTTCGGATCCCCCACCCTTTTCAGAGCACACAAATCCATGCAGAACCTTCTTCTCCTCCACTGCAACGGTCTTCACATCAGGAGCACGTGCGCTCCTAGGCTTGGGAATGCGCGAACACACTGATTCAAGCAGAACCTTCCTCTCCTCCGCAGCAAGGGTCTTCAAAGCAGGAGCACGTGCGCTGCCAGGCTTGGGAATGCGCGTAGGCAGCAGCTTCAAGCTAGCCAATGCCATTCTCGAGACCATGCACTTGCTTGCAGCCAGCTCTGTAGTCGCTGCTGACTTCAACACTTGGTTGGGCTCCCGCTTCAAGTCACCATTGTTGCCCTTCTTAAGCTTCCTGTGACCAGCACTGACGGCCTCTCTGGTCACTGCTGCCCAAGGCACAGTAAAAGTGAAGCTTTTGCTGTAGTCCACGTAATCTCCACTGCTGTAAAGACGCGTCGCGTTACCAAAGCTGCTGCTGAGAAGCGTCTTGCAGCTGCTGTCCACCATGCTAATCGTGCTGGCGACGATGCTGCCAACACTCACCCTGTCACACTCCATCCGTACGTCCTTGTTTGACAGTTCAAACGGAGCCTCAGTGGATGCCTCTGCAGGCACAGGGAAGTCATCCGCAGCTCCAGAAAACTCCTCTGAGGTTTCCGAGGAGTACCCTGCAGCCTCGTACGAGATTTCTTCTGCCTCAAAGGAGCCAACTGCAGGCTCGGAAGACTCCTCTGCAGCCTCAGAGGAGTCCCATGACGCCTCAATCCGGGGGTCCTCCTCCTCTGCAGCCGAAAAGGAAGGTGATAAAGCTGGGAGTTGAACCTGCGACTGAACGGGAGCACTCCGGTTCTTCCAGAGACGAAGGGCTTCAGAAAAACAAGGATAATCAGCTTGGGCCATGAGAACTTAGTGGTATCCGAGTGAGGTAAGAGGAGAATGCCTCAAGAACAAAGCTTCGACGGTAGGAAACTTGGAACACAGTAGCAAGTGTGAAGCCTGGTAGGAAGATTGCTCTCAAGACTCGTTGAGAAATTTTGGAAGTAAGACTCTGAGAACAATTGGGCTGAGGGAATGATATTCTATAACCGAGACGAGGAGGCACGAGTCAGAGGTGAGGAGGGAGGAGAGTTGCGGGGAGCAGCAGCAGAGGTGTGGAACAGGCTCGGGGAACTCCTGCTGCCCTTTCAGCGTCCGGGACCTTCTGAGCTCTCTGCTCCGGCAAGCTGCCCGGCTTGAAATTTCTACAAGGGCAAACATTCTAAACGAATTTGCAGGGTGCTCGACTCTCACGGGCAAGGCTGCGGCGCGGGACATTTCGGTTCCGCTGCCCTTCAAGAGATGGTTGTTTCAGGCTCGGACGAGGTCGCTGTTTCGTTGCGACGAAGCTAGCGAGGCTCGTTGCGAAATGATCGACACTGCGCGCTTCCGGAGATTCACTTCGCTGGGTAGAACAAATATTACGCAAATGTTTATCCCCAGTTCCAGGTCGGTACCAACTGAAGCGGCAACGCGTAACAGAGTACCGGAAGCGGGAATTACGCGCGGCTAAACGTTTATTTTCGCTTGCCCGTTCAAAACAAAACAACAGCAGTTTTCTAGGTTCCGACGATTCCGTGGAGTGGCAGCAGCCAAAGGCTCGGTGAAGATCCAACGGTGGTCCGTAACAAGAGACTATCGAGGAGACACAAGCTCAAACTTTGAAACAAGCTCTTGCAGATGAGATCGGAGTTGCATTGGAGGTTTGAACCTGTACTCCGTACAGAGGTTCTCGTGACTTCACAGTTCATACAATTCCAGTTTGTGGCGCAAAGTCTTCAAAGCGTTAGTCTGAGCGTTTCATCCTGGCGCTTATGTAAAGGTGTACCGTACTTTCAATCAGACGTTAGTGACCAAACAGGACTCATTAATGGAACTCAATTTCCTATAAGCTCGCGTTTACGAAGTAAGTTTGCATCGGAAACCTAAATATCACGCCGCGACCAAGGCTCACAATTGATTCGTAATGCTGGGGTGCATCGAATCGACATGGTTGTGGGAGCGCAACTCGTTCATGCTGCATTTCTTTCTACGGTAGTCTGTGTTATTCCGACATGGTACGGCAATAGAGCTTGTGGGAGTCCGACAAGAGGTTTGCGTGATAAGAGGTCAGAGTGGAAACAAGCAATGATATTTACATCTTAGTTACCCATCTCTACCGTATTTGACATCCTCCCCTTGCCCTTTTTGCGCTGAGACAAAGCAGCAGAACATTACGATCTCTCATTTGTACACGCTTATTTACACTTCCATATGTCAAACTACTGCTTGCAAAGATACTAAAATTCACCATTCCCCAAAATTGACGGCCACAAAGCCAGCCAGCAAGCGGCCGTTGGTGGAGCGCAGCTCGTTCATGAGGTGACTCCAGTTGGACAAACCTAGAGTCGTCTCGTCCCGTCTCAAACCCTGTGCTGTGGTGAAACTACCACTCCCCAAAATTGACGGCCACGAAGCCGGCTAGCAAGCGGCCGTTGGTGGAGCGCAGCTCGTTCATGAGGCGACTCCAGTTGGAGCCGAGGCTGCCGACAAAGTAGTCACACTGCGCAGCAATCAGCACGCTTGCAAAGCTCACCGCCACGGACTGATCGCGCTCGTACTGCCGCAGCGACCCCGCTGCGGCCTGCTGCCGCGCGTTGGACGAGTAGAAGAAAGTCCATGAGGGCTGATCCGCTGCTCGGTCCACGTTGGCCTGCATGGTGTGAGGAGAAAAGGTGGATGGGAGGGGAAAGAAGCAGTGCAGATGGTTTGCCTGTCGGGATGGAAACCAGAAAGAGCAGAACATGAACGGAGCATCAGTGGTGCAGACATGTAGAAAAAGAAGGGGAGATTGGAAAACAGGGTGGTCAGGAAATGCACAATACGACACATGAACAGGAAACGGACAGAATGCAATATGTCAGGCAAGTCACCTGGGTCTCAGTGTTGAGCCAGACATGGGAGAGGTCCAGCCCATGGTGGCGGAGGCGGTTCATGTGGAAGATGTGGGAGTCCAGAGAGGTCAGGCCCATCTCTGCAAACTTGTCCGTACCCCTTACATGCAGACTCACTATAGGCCGCGGCATGTACGGCTCCTCCACTCCCAGCCACCAGCTGGCATCCGTGCTGTTGGCATTGCCATTGTCACCACCCCCTGTGGCACTGCCAGTGGCGTCTGGATGGAAGGACAAGGATGAACTTGCAAGAGCCGCCAATCGGTCTGCTGCTCTTCTCCTCCTTGCTTCCCAGTCAGTTGCATTAGCTGGGACGTTGAGTGCGGTAGGTGCAGCAGAGGTGGCAGAAGCAGAGGTGGCAGAAGCAGCAGGGGCGGTGCTGTGAGAGAGAGAGGAGAGGGCTTCTGATTGGGTAAGAAGGAAGCGAGCGACGTGATTGGCTGAGAGTGTGCCGAAAGCGCGGTGCCTCTCCTGGTTGGTGACGTGGCAGAGATGCGCCGACGGCCACCGCATGATGAATCGCACCGCCTGCGCCCGCCACCAGTGCACCTGGGAGCATGGGGAAGGGGGAAGGGAAGAAAGGGATAGAGAGGAAGGGCATGACAACAAGAGAATCATGAATCGCACCGCCTGCGCCCACCACCAGTGCACCTGGCGAGGGGGAGGGGGAACGTAATAGGAATAACTCGAGCAATGAATCGCACCGCCTGCGCCCACCACCAGTGCACCTGGGGGGAGGGAGAAAGGGGAAGGGTAGAGGAGGATAGAGTGAAGACACGACAACAAGAGAATCATGAAACGCAACGCCTGAGACCGCCATCAGTGCACCTGGGGGCTTTGATGGGAAAGGGGGGGACGAGGGGGGAGAATTGGGGAAGGTGCAAGAGCTACTTTTGGAACGCACTGCCTGTCAATTGCAAGAAGTGCAAGAAGTGCATGCATAGGAACAGAATAAAAGGGGTACACACAGTCACGGTGCAAAGCTGAGTCTGTAGCGGCCGCACTGCACACCTATGGTCCGTATTTAAACCTCGCACATACACCATCACATGATTACATGTATCTCAACCCTCATGCACAGCCCTTCCAGTCACGTCATGAGACAATATAAAACTCATGTCACGTCACGTCACGTCACGTCACCTCTAGAAAATTCAAGTTTTGAATTCTCCCCGCACCCCCCTTTCTGAATACCCCTGGCACACCCCTTTTTGTCACCTTTCACAGGTCAGGATCAGTTGCGTTAAACACTACTTAAAAACACTTTTAAATTCTCTTGGCACACTCCTTACAGACACCGTTCATTCTTATAGTCACCTTGCGGAGTTCAGGGCCAAGAGGCATGAGTCGCCCCTTTGCGTATGATGACTCGACTCAAAAATCGACTCATCACAGGCGGATCATACTCCAACATACCCCTTACAGTCAGTCACCTTGCGAAGTTCAGGGTCAAGAGGCATGAGTCGCCCCTCTGCCTCCACAGTGCATGTGCTGTTCAGATACGCGTCGCCCCACAGACTGCCACAGGATGGGGTTCGAGGGAAGGGAGGTAAGTATGGGAAGAAGGGGGGTACCGTGGAGAACCATGAGTCGCCCCTTTGCCACCACCGCTCATGCTGTGTTGAGATATGCGTCGTCGCCTCACAGGCTGCCACAGGATGGGGGGGATGGGCGGGTAAGAGCGGGGGAAGAGGTGTGGGGAACAATGGGAGCGGAAGAGGGGAAAGGAACAATGAGCCTCCCCTGCCGACTCTCCCGGCAGCCAAGCAGCCCCTGTCGATCCACCTGGCAGGAAATATGTTATTCGACAATTGTATGCTAAATCTGTTTTGAGAATTGTATGTCGAACTTCCTGAAGGCCGATGCCGGAATGGCCTCCGAGTTCGCGCACGTCCTGTTAAGGGTACCATTGCCAGGAAGGGAGAAACAGAGGAAGGGAGAAACAGAGGAAGGGGGGAAACAGAGGAAGGGGGGAAACAGAGAGAAACTGAGGAAGGGAGAATCAGAGAGAAACAGAGGAAGGGAGAAACAGAGAGAACCTGCCGCCTCTAGTTCTCTCTGTTTCTCCCTTCCTCTGTTTCTCTTTGTTTCTCCCTTCCTCTGTTTCTCTCTGTTTCCCCCTTCCTCTGTTTCTCCCTTTTTTCTGTTTCTCCCTTCCTGGCAATAGTACCCTTAACAGGACATGCGCGAACTCGGAGGCCATTCCGACATCGGTCTTCGGGAAGTTCCCTATGTTTTCCCCGTTGATTCGAACTCTGAAGTTGTGTTTCCTTTTCCCGCTTTTGATGCACCATAAACACCATTTGGGATTGTCTCGAAGGTTGTCAAACCTTCCACCTCTGGCTCAACTTGTGACGGGGCTCTTCTTCCGAGGCTCCGCCAATGTGGAGAACCACGCTGACCATTTGAGGAATGTGTACATTTCCATCCCTGTTTTGTCATCTCGTCGAGGTTGCTGCTCTCCTCCTCCTCCTCCTCCTCCTCCTCCTCCTCCTCCTCCTCCTCCTCCTCCTCCTCCTCCTCCTCCTCCTCCTCCTCCTCCTCCTCCTCCTCCTCCTCCTCCTCCTCCTCCTCCTTCCCCTCCCACTCCTCCACCTGCCAGCGGATGACTCCATGGAGTCGGCCATGCCGATGTACACGAAACGGTCGAAATGGCAGCGGCGGCCTCAAAGCCCATGCCGGCGCAGTCGGGGAGCATGTTGGTGACTAGCTGCTGCATGGCCACACAAGGCACCTACCCTTCCGTACACCTTAGCAACAAACCTCTGAAAAATCGTATCAATGCTCCCCCTTCCCCATTCCCCCCTTCCGTACCCACCTAGCAGCAGAGGACTCCATAGAATTCGCCATGCCGATGCACACAAAGCGATCGGGCGAGGCAGCAGCGGCCTCAAAGCCCATGCCAGCGCAGTCGGGGAGTGTGTTGGTGACTAGCTGCTGTACAACCACTCGTCGGCACTCCACTGAGGTGATGGGGAAGAAGTAGCAGTCCCACCGACTGTTGTGCCCCACGGCTGGTGATAACAGCGGGGAACGGGGAGGTGGGAACGGGGAGGTGGGTACGGGGAGGTGGGTATGAGTTTCAGCAGCTGCATAGCCACGTGGAGACATTCCACTGGTGTATTGTAGAAGCGGTAGCAGTCCCTGCGACTGGTGATGGAGAGGAGAGAAGGTATGGGGGAGCAGGGTGAGGGGAGAGGGGCATGATGAAAGGGGAACGAGGAGGGGTTATGGTGGGATGAGTGTGGAGGGTTTAATGCGGGGAGGGGGGTTGGAGAGGGGACATGAGGAGTGGGATATGGTGAGGGAGGGGGTATGGTGAGGGGGGTATAAGGAAAGGGGTATGGGGAGGGGGATATGGGGAAGGAAGGGGGGCATGGCATGGGGAGGGGTGCATGAGGGTGGGTTGGAGAAAAGGGCTTACCTTCACAGTCGGGAACAAGGGCTTACCTTCACAGTCGGGAACAAGGGCTTACCTTCACAGTCGGGAACAAGGGCTTACCTTCACAGTCGGGAACAAGGGGACATGAGGGTGGGTGGGTGGGTGGGTGGGTGGGTGGGTGGGTGGGTGCGTGGGTGGGTGGGAGAAACGAGCGCACCTTCGCAGTCAGGCGTGCGGGCGCGCAGGTAGGTGTCGGGGTCTTCTACGAGCACTCTGTTGTTGAGCATGGCCAGGCTGAGCATGGCTGACATCACATGCACCTGGTGGGTTGGTGGGTGGGATGGGATGTATGGATACATGCAGTCGACTGAAAATTGCAACACGTGTCATGTCAGCATTAAACAGGTAGGCGTCAGGGTCCTCTACGCGAGTACCACTGTTGAGCATGGCACGATTGAGAAGATTCACCTGAACATCCATCAGATTCACCTGAAAAGCCAATGAATTCACCTCTAAGCCTATCTATTGCCTCCCAATAACCCCATCAAATTCACCTCAGAGCCCGTCAGATTCACCTGAGAGCCCATCAGATTCACCTGAGAGCCCATCAGATTCACCTGAGAGCCCATCAGATTCACCTGAGAGCCCATCAGATTCACCTGAGAGCCCATCAGATTCACCTGCGAGCCCATCAGATTCACCTGCGAGCCAGCCCCATGGCCACCAGGTTTGGGCCACTTGGCAATGAGCAGGCGCTTGTCGGTGCAATCCCCAGGTGGGAACTGATGCCGCCAGATGTCCCTCTGCACGACACGTGTCAGCGGCAGATTGGCTTCATCCGGCCCTCTGATCTGGGTGGAACATGTGTGGGCGAACAGACAGGTAAAGAGTGCCATTGTGTCGGGAATGCCTGCATCATGGGATCCAAAAGGGATGTGTTGAAGCTTGACATCGCATTGATCTGACATTGACAATGCATTGGATGGACATTCAACTGGACCCTGAAGCTGGCATTGACGTTGACAATGACACTGACAATGACACTGACAATGACACTGACAATGATACTGACATTGACATTAAACTTGACATTGGCATTAGCCATCCAAAGTATTTGGTGCAACGTCTAACTATCTTCGCACTCCCCACTGTCCTACCGGTACATAACCTACAGTAGTGCAGAAGGGACTATAAACCTTACCCATGGCGGCTGCGGGACCTCCTCCCCCTGCTCTTGCCCCGAGCACCCACCACTAGCAGCAGCCTCCGACCTCCTTGGCCCTTCCCGCGTCCAAGCGGGCTCCTCTCCCCTCGCGCCTCTCCGCTCCCACGCCTCCCGCTCCGCGCTCGCTCGCGCGCAATCCTCCAGGTGCGGCGCAGCGGGCACGCCCGCGGGGAGGGAGACGGCGGAAGGGGGAAGCAGAGAGTCTGCGCCCAGCCCGTACGCTTCCGACCACGCTTTAACTAACGCCTCCGCTTCCTGGGAAGCGGCATCGCCTAGAAACTGCGACGCGGCTAGCGCTAGCGCTAAGAGCGGGCCGGAGCCGCGAGTGTTGCCGACGGGAAGGGAGGGAGGAGCGTGAAGCGCGCTGATGAGGAGAAGGAGGAGGAGGGCGTATTGTAAGCGTGGGAGGCGTTGGGATGTTGCGAGGCGGTATGAGTGGCAGCCGGGATGGGTCATTCTGCTTAGGAGCCCTACTTTCAGCGTTGAAGGCGAAACGAGTTGGTATTCTTCAAAGTGACTCACGCCTCCCAGATCTTTTGGTGCATCGTAACGAGATATGTAAAGGCTAGTAGACTTGTGCTGCTGGAATCTCTGTTCTTGATGTTAGTATGTACACGAAAAAGATAGCCCCGTGGTGTCGTAGACCTTCTACCAGGAGTTGGCGACGCGCGTCGCAATGGCTAGTAATTCTAGAGGCTAATCATCCGCGGTTAAAGTTAATAATTAGGTAGCGGATTCTCCGCACGAGGTGGCATCAGCGCGTTACACGCTGGGGGCCAATGGAATCATATTCGTGTCTCGCATCCGATCAGGAATATATGAGCGGCCCTAGCTTGCTTAGTAGAAAGGATGGCACCCGACGGCCATTATAATGTAGATATGATCGAACCGAGCTTGTAGAGGAGTCTGATATCCTACAAAATTGGTGCACATCGCCTAAGTCATCTCCAAAAATCGTGAACATCTGCCAAATCCTCCTGAACGTTTTCAATCAGATTGATCTCAGAGAGGGAAAGAAGAGTCCACTAGCAATCCAGGTTTGCGATTCACATCAAACACGGGTCAGTTACAACCTCCCTCCTAATGTTGCGGATTGAGCAGGAACAGCAGTGAGTGCAGCAGATAGGCAGAAAGAGCGTTGAAGCCCTCTTTAGGTCTCTAGTTTCAGTGGGCTTCTGACCCAAAATTAGATGGTGTGAAATTAGATAAAATATGTTTCAGTGGGTTTAAAGTCGTTACAAGTTTTGCTGGTTGACTTTCTTGGACTCGGATGCAGGCGCAGACCAGCCGGAGCAGATCAAGGTCAACAGCATGCCAACGGATGATGAGGCCTCATACCCCTATAGAGTGCACCGTGCACATTGGCACAAGATTAGAGCACACCTATTTTCATGAGCACAATACCCCAGTAGATCAACTTTTCATGGCAGGTATTAGGCCTTAAAATGCTCATTAACAACATAACGCAGGAAACACCTAATTGAAGTTGATAACTGAAGACGATTGAGAAATCCCGTTGTAAATCAATGTGCCCGAGACGGGAACGAACTGCTTGGTAATAAGCTGCACACAAGAAGGAACATGCTATGATTGCGAGAATGAGAAGGACTAGAGTAGATGCAACATGGCAGAAAGACAACAGCTACAAATGAAGGAATTGGAGGTGGGCAGGAAGGGGGCGGGGGGGGGGGGGGGGGGGGGGGGGTGGGGAGGGGGAGGGTTTAGAGGCGCTGCGGGAGGCTAAGGGAGATCCGTGTTGCCCAACTCCATGCTCCAAACTGACTAATCAACCAACCATAAAGTCAACTAATTTCAGGAAATCCATGGAGTTTTCACTGGGGATTTACCTTGATTGCTTCTTGGCTTGCCACCCCACCAATCACAGCAGCAACACAGTGCAGCTCACTGGCACCAAACCGGCACATCTCAGCCGTCAGATCGTCCGGAATCGAAGGTGACTGGCTGGGGCTGCCACCTCCACTGACAATAGTGCCTGCCAGGCTCTTGAGCCGTGCCACGTCATCATCGTCCACGTCACTGGCAGGAGATTAGAGGACACGTGAGTGGAGGTAAGATTTCACTGCGGCGCCGCTTGATGGCATCCCGATACATCCTGCAACAAACTAACTGCCATCTTCCTTAAACCAATACACTAAGTGATGTATGATAAGAGGAACTATGATGACGCTGGGCATGCGATCCACAGTGGTGCAATAGCAACAAAAAGCATATTCACATCGAACTCGTAGAAACTCACGAATGAGTGAATCTTATGACCACTGGCGACTACCTCACAAGAACGACCTATGTTTTTTGCCTTACAACATAAGGTGCTTGCCACACAACATAAGGTGCTTGCCACATAACATAAGGTTCTTGCATTACAACATATAAGGTTCTTGCCATACCCGGGGAAAGAGCCGGGGTAGCGGTGGAACTGGGAATAGAAGTGGTCGGCGCCTCTCAGGAGTACATACAGGGCTGCATGGCTGACAGGTGGTGATGTGGGGGGGGGGGGGGGAGAGGAGGGAAGTTGGGAGGGACGATGAGGGGAGAGAAGTGGAGAGAGAGAGATTGGCTTCACGCATGCCGCTGCTTCAGTGTAAGGGTTTTCAGAAACCTTCTGCAAGAGAGGTAGCACAACACACCCTCACCATTTGGAGATGACATGAGACTGTACCTCACCATCTGGAGATGACAAGAAACTGTACCCGCCATCAGGAGATGACATGCAACAGTACTTGCCATCAGGAGATGACATGAAACCGTACCTGCCATGAGGAGATGACATGAAACTGTACCTGCCATCAGGGGATGACATGAGCCGCTGCAGAGTTGGAATGCAAGCTCGCGCCCCTGCTCCAAACTCCTCACTCAAAGGCTTGAAGCGAACCACCTTATAGCGAGTAAAAGTGAAGGTGAGGCCCAAGGAGGGGAGGAAAACACGTGTGCAGTTGAGGGGGTAACACCTGTGATTGTCTGGCACAGGAGATGTGATCAGGAGATGATGTTAGTAGATGCGGAAGGAAAAACAGTGAGAGGGGACTGGCATGGGATTACATGAACAGCACCACTCGACAATGGCAGTCACTCAGTCACAATTACACGGGACGCCGCTGATAATTCTGGCATCTTAAGAGCCAACTTTTGAGCTGACTCAAAAGTCTGATGATTCAGGCATCTAAGAACCAATAGAAGCACAGGGGTGCACCCAGGCATGTATTTTCCAGCGTTGGAATGAAGAGCAGTTAGTGGTTGGGTTGTGTGCGGATTACCCTGAGGTTCCGTGCGTTCTTGCAGAAGAGCTTGACTGTAACCAGCAGCACCCCACTGGTGCATTCACACATGTGCTTTCCAAGGTTTGAGAAACGAGAAGAGTGGTTAGTGGGTTTGTGTCGCGATTACCCTCAGGTTCCGCGCGTTCTTGCAGAAGAGCTTGATTGTAGCGAGGGGAATGGAGGCGGGGTCCTTGCCTATGCTCTTCAGCAGCTCGCTGACGTGGCGCTGCACCGCTGCCACGTCAGCATCCGCCTTGCTGAGGTAGATTCTCTGAAGTGCCACATAGAAACTGGTGAAAGGGAAGGGATGAATGTTGGTGATGTGAGGGGATAAGGATAAGGGGTATGGAGGTAAAAAAGGAGAGAGGAGAGAAAAAGATCGAAGCGAGAGTGAAATAAAGCAGGATGGAACGGGCAGATGGATGCTTCTAAAAGAGAAACAAGCATGTGACTTTCGAAAGGATGTTTCCACAACTCCTATTCACCCATCTTCAGCACCATTGTCACACACCCTCCAACACAAACCTAAAAAAACAAAAAGTGCATGCCATGCCATGCCATGCCACCACTCTCACTCTGTGAGGGAGTGCATGTCGGGTATGGCGCCATCAACAGGGAGGTCCCCTTCCCCCTCCTTCTCCACAAACAGCTGAACGCAGAGGCACACAAGGAAGGACAACAACAAACGACGAGACAGGTCGAGGAGACGGGAGTTGGAAGATCAGCCATGAAGACTGGGCGAGCAGCAATCACTTTTGAGGCGCCTCAAGACTGGGCGAGCAGCAATCAAGAAGATACTTTTAGGAAAAGAAGAAGGAAAAAGAGTAAAACTTGTCTGTTTGTTGTACCTTACTTAATGCCAAAAATTACAAAAAATGAACCCTCAACTCCACTACTAGATTAACATGCGAACTAGTTTCGGCAGACTGGGACTTTTGAGTCGACTCAAAAGTCAACTCGCTAGTTTCGGCGGACTGGGACAGGCCCCGAGTCACACCTTCTTTTGAGTCGACTCAAAAGCAGACTGGGACAGGCCCCAAGTCACACCTTCATCAGCAACAGACGACGAGACAGGTCGAGGAGACGGGAGATGGAAACAAACAACAGGCTGCAGATTTTGAGAATTCTCAAAAGTCGCACCAACAACAACAACGGGCAGCAAAAAACCGATTTTGGAGTCACTTTTGAGATTTTTTCAGAAGTTTGAAGATAGAAAAAAACCAAGGCTGCAAAGAACGAGACAAAGAAGTTGGATGATTGAGCTCGAACGCAGGAGAGCGGAAGCAGGTGAGATTGCGGTGTAAGTGCAGTGTTGGGAAAGCAATCCTAGCGCGTACCTTGAGCGCAGCAGCAAGCACCCAGAAGTCAGAGGAGGCGTGTGAGAGCTGCATGGCTGCATCGGTGAATATGGCCTGCAGCTCCGACCCTAGAGCACGCCGCATGGGCATGGTGTGGGGAGGTGGGGGGGAGGAGGAGGAGGAGGAGGAGGAGGAGGAGGAGGAGGAGGAGGAGGAGGAGGAGGAGGAGGAGGAGGAGGAGGAGGAGGAGGAGGAGGAGGAGGAGGAGGAGGAGGAGTACGGGACCCGGAAAGAAGGTCAAACATGGGGAAAACAGGTTTCTGGACGCAAGAAAACAAATACGGATATCACGTCGAAGTGGCATTACGGCTGATCTAAGAGTGAGCTCAGAAGGCAGGGGTACGGTACGGGTACCTACCTATGGGGGGAGGCGACCACACTTTGTACGCGGCAGCGAGCGCCTCCTTGAAGTTATCCTCGTCCATGTGCCTCTGGTGCGCTGCTATCAACCCCTGCGCGTGTGGGGTGTGGGGGGGGCGGTGAGGGTGTGTGGGTGTGTTTTGAGTCAACTTATAAACACTTACAAGGGCCGCCTTGAAGTTATCCTCGTAAATGTGCAGCTGGTGCGCTGCGATTAAAGCCTGTGGGTGGGGTTGTGGGGGTGCAAGGGAGTGGGTGTGGGCATGTAAGTGTGGAGGCGTGTTGTGTGCTGACTCAGAACGCACTTGAGAGGGCCCTCTTTGAAGTTATCCTCGTTCATGTGCCTCTGCTGTGCTGGTATTAACGCCTGTGGGGGCATGAGGGTGAGGTTGTGAGGGTGGGTGGGTGTATGGGGTGGTGGGTGTAGGTGAGTGCATCATGCATGTGGTTGAGGGTGTGTGACGTGACATGGGTGTGTGGCAATGGAACAGGGTAAGAAAAACAGAGTGGAAGGTAAAGTACAAGGAGAGGAGGAGACAAAGAGCACAAGTCAACCTCATCCTAGTTCAACGTCACAAGTCAACCTCATCCTAGTTCAACGTCACAAGTCAACCTCATCCTAGTTCAACGTCACAAGTCAACCTCATCCTAGTTCAACGTCACAAGTCAACCTCATCCTAGTTCAACGTCACAAGTCAACCTCATCCTAGTTCAACGTCACAAGTCAACCTCATCCTAGTTCAACGTCACTGCTTCACATCACGCACGCCACTGGTCCTCGAGCCATGATGAACTCTAGGTACGCCGGCCCCATTCACATCACACAGGTCACTGGTGGTCCTCGAGCTATGATTTCATGCCCGCCCCATTCCCACCCACCCCACCTTGAACTCCGACCGTTCTTTTGCACTACGAGGACTTTTGAGGTGCCTCAGAAGTCGTCAAAAGGAGCCTCAGAAGTCCTCAAAAGGCGCCTCAGAAGTCCTCAAAAGGCGCCTCAGAAGTCCTCAAAAGGCGCCTCAGAAGTCCTCAAAAGGCGCCTCAGAAGTCTTCAAAAGGCGCCTCAGAAGTCCTCAAAAGGCGCCTCAGAAGTCCTCAATAGGCGCCTCAGAAGTCCTCAAAAGGCACCTCAGAAGTCCTCAAAAGGCGCCTCAGAAGTCCTCAAAAGGCGCCTCAGAAGTCCTCAAAAGGCGCCTCAAAAGTCCTCAAAAGGCGCCTCAGAAGTCCTCAATAGGCGCCTCAGAAGACCTCAAAAGGCGCCTCAGAAGTCCTCAAAAGGCGCCTCAGAAGTCCTCAAAAGGCGCCTCAGAAGTCCTCAAAAGGCGCCTCAGAAGTCCTCAAAAGGCGCCTCAGAAGTCCTCAATAGGCGCCTCAGAAGTCCTCAAAAGGCGCCTCAGCTCAGAAGTCCTCAAAAGGCGCCTCAGAAGTCCTCAAAAGGCGCCTCAGAAGTCCTCAAAAGGCGCCTCAGAAGTCCTCAAAAGGCGCCTCAGAAGTCCTCAATAGGCGCATCAGAAGTCCTCAAAAGGCGCCTCAGAAGTCCTCAAAAGGCGCCTCAGAAGTCCTCAAAAGGCGCCTCAGAAGTCCTCAAAAGGCGCCTCAGAAGTCCTCAAAAGGCGCCTCAGAAGTCCTCAAAAGGCGCCTCAGAAGTCCTCAAAAGGCGCCTCAGAAGTCCTCAAAAGGCGCCTCAGAGGTCCTCAAAAGGCGCCTCAGAAGTCCTCAAAAGGCGCCTCAGAAGTCCTCAAAAGGCGCCTCAGAAGTCCTCAAAAGGCGCCTCAGAAGTCCTCAAAAGGCGCCTCAGAAGTCCTCAAAAGGCGCCTCAGAAGTCCTCAAAAGGCGCCTCAGAAGTCCTCAAAAGGCGCCTCAGAAGTCCTCAAAAGGCGCCTCAGAAGCCGACCCATTCCCACCCACCCCACCTTGAACTCCGACCGCTCTGCTGCACCACGAGGCAGCACTCGCGGCTCGCTCGCCCCTCCCTGCCCCTCCCCATCCGCTTGCATCGCCACCGGCGCCGCCTCTTCCCCTGCTGCTGCTGCTCCTCCTGCCCCTGCTTCCCCTTCCTCCCCTCTCCCTCCGCCCTGCTGCCACTGCTGTGCTGCCTGCAGCAGGATGACGGCATAAGGGATGTGCTTGTGCAGCATCGCATCCTCCATGTCCAAATCGAACCCCATCGCAAACCTGAGGCATTTATGGAGAAGGAGAGGGGAAGAGGGTGTGTGTGTGTGCAGCAAGATGGCATGGCAGCGTAGCATGCACACGCACATTCTCCTGCAGGTCGGGGCCAGTCAGGACTAGTGTGGGTGACGGGAGATTTGGGGCGAGCATGTCAGCAGCGGGATGGCAGCCTTGCATGGCTCTCAAATTGTCCACTAGATTGCACCACACCAAATCTAGGGTGCGTCAGCAGCGGGATGGCAGCCTTGCATGGCTCTCAAATTGTCCACTAGATTGCACCACACCAAATCTAGGGTGTGTCAGCAGCGGGATGGCACCCTTATTCATCCACAGCAACCTCATCACACCCTTATTCATCCACAGCAACCTCATCACACCCTTATTCATCCACAGCAACCTCATCACACCCTTATTCATCCACAGCAACCTCATCACACCCTAGGCACATGAGCCCCAGCCATCCTGGTCTCACTCTTTCAGCTCATTCCACGGCTTGTGCAGCCTCAAATCGTCCACTGCGTTGTCTGGCCTCTGCCCCACCTGCACCGCACTGCACCCCCCACACACACCCCTCAACCCTACCAAACCCCCAAGTCAGAGTCTCACTCTTTGAGCTCCTTCCACGGCTTGTGCAGCCTCAGATCGTCCACTGTATTGTCCGGCTTCGCCTCCACCACACAGTGCTCCTGGTTGGTGGGACGGACAGGGCACAAGGGCGGCATGTGGGTGTGCACAGCACAGGCACACGCACAGAGACAGAAGGGACGTCTTCTCAATGCTATCGACGACGCCCCTCAGGTCGTCCACCGTGTTGTCAGGCTTCACCTCCACCACACAGTGCTCCTGGGAGGGAGGAGCGTGGGCACGGGCACAAGGAAGGATGAGCACAACAACAAAAAGAGCGACTTCTCTTGCTATGGATGGGACGCGTATCAGGTCGTCCACTGTGTTTTGTTGTCTGGTTTCGCCTCCACCACACAGTGCTCCTGGGAGGGAGGAGCATGACACGGGCACAAGGAAGGATGAGCAAGGCGCAAGGGCAGCTAGTGGGTATGGGCACAAGGAAGGATGAGCAAGGCGCAAGGGCAGCTAGTGGGTATGGGCACAAGGAAGGATGAGCAAGGCGCAAGGGCAGCTAGTGGGTATGGGCACAAGGAAGGATGAGCAAGGCGCAAGGGCAGCTAGTGGGTATGGGCACAAGGAAGGATGAGCAAGGCGCAAGGGCAGCTAGTGGGTATGGGCACAAGGAAGGATGAGCAAGGCGCAAGGGCAGCTAGTGGGTATGGGCACAAGGAAGGATGAGCAAGGCGCAAGGGCAGCTAGTGGGTATGGGCACAAGGAAGGATGAGCAAGGCGCAAGGGCAGCTAGTGGGTATGGGCACAAGGAAGGATGAGCAAGGCGCAAGGGCAGCTAGTGGGTATGGGCACAAGGAAGGATGAGCAAGGCGCAAGGGCAGCTAGTGGGTATGGGCACAAGGAAGGATGAGCAAGGCGCAAGGGCAGCTAGTGGGTATGGGCACAAGGAAGGATGAGCAAGGCGCAAGGGCAGCTAGTGGGTATGGGCACAAGGAAGGATGAGCAAGGCGCAAGGGCAGCTAGTGGGTATGGGCACAAGGAAGGATGAGCAAGGCGCAAGGGCAGCTAGTGGGTATGGGCACAAGGAAGGATGAGCAAGGCGCAAGGGCAGCTAGTGGGTATGGGCACAAGGAAGGATGAGCAAGGCGCAAGGGCAGCTAGTGGGTATGGGCACAAGGAAGGATGAGCAAGGCGCAAGGGCAGCTAGTGGGTATAGGCACAAGGAAGGATGAGCAAGGCGCAAGGGCAGCTAGTGGGTATGGGCACAAGGAAGGATGAGCAAGGCGCAAGGGCAGCTAGTGGGTATGGGCACAAGGAAGGATGAGCAAGGCGCAAGGGCAGCTAGTGGGTATGGGCACAAGGAAGGATGAGCAAGGCGCAAGGGCAGCTAGTGGGTATGGGCACAAGGAAGGATGAGCAAGGCGCAAGGGCAGCTAGTGGGTATGGGCACAAGGAAGGATGAGCAAGGCGCAAGGGCAGCTAGTGGGTATGGGCACAAGGAAGGATGAGCAAGGCGCAAGGGCAGCTAGTGGGTATGGGCACAAGGAAGGATGAGCAAGGCGCAAGGGCAGCTAGTGGGTATGGGCACAAGGAAGGATGAGCAAGGCGCAAGGGCAGCTAGTGGGTATAGGCACAAGGAAGGATGAGCAAGGCGCAAGGGCAGCTAGTGGGTATGGGCACAAGGAAGGATGAGCAAGGCGCAAGGGCAGCTAGTGGGCATGGGCACAAGCACAGCGATAGAAAAACGCCCCTCCGATCGTCCATTACACTCACCCGTCAGGCTTCAGTTCCATCCAGGGAGAGTGGCACCCTCCAAGAGCAGAAGCGCATTCGAAAAAGATGAAGGCTACTATAGCAGAAACGAGACTTACCGGAGCAACAGCGCCAGAGCAGCAGCAGAGCTTACAAGAGCAGCAACAAGATTTACCGTAGAGGAGATGCGGATGAGACCCATGAGCCCATAGGAGCGGGCCACTATGAGCTGACAGCCGTGCTGCCGACACACCGAGTCCAGCTGCAGTAGCACTGACTCCGGCAGCTGGGAGGGGAGGGTGACAGGGAATCGGAGAGCGTGGGAAGAAAAGGAATGTTTGAGAGAGGTGAATGGAGCTGTGACGAGTGAGAGAGCTGACAGCCGTGCTGCCGACACACCGAGTCCAGCTGCAGTAGCTCTGCCTCCGGTAGCTGTGCGGGGGAGGGCGAAAAGGGTGCGGTGCGGAGAGTGGGTGGGGCAGGCAGAGAACAGCGGGCACGGCACAACAGGGCTGGATGTGTGAAGCAAGAAAGGTCAGTGAGAAGGAAGCCAGAGTATAACTGCAGGGAAAGCGCACCTGGGTGGCGATGACGAGGGTGAACTCGCTGAAGAACGTGGCGTTGTTCTCCACGAGCGTGGCAGGGCTCTCCTCCATGCATTGGATTGTTTGACTCTTGAATCACCTCGGCAATGCGCACCTGGGTGGCGATGACGAGGGTGAACTCGCTGAAGAACGTGGCGTTGTTTTACACGAGCGTGGCAGGGCTCTCCTCCATGCATTGGATTGTTTGACTCTTGAATCACCTCGGCAATGCGCACCTGGGTGGCGATGACGAGGGTGAACTCGCTGAAGAACGTGGCGTTGTTTTCCACGAGCGTGGCAGGGCTCTCCTCCATGCATTGGATTGTTTGACTCTTGAATCACCTCGGCAATGCGCACCTGGGTGGCGATGACGAGGGTGAACTCGCTGAAGAACGTGGCGTTGTTTTCCACGAGCGTGGCAGGGCTCTCCTCCATGCATTGGATTGTTTGACTCTTGAATCACCTCGGCAATGCGCACCTGGGTGGCGATGACAAAAGTGAACTCGCTGAAGAACGTGGCGTTGTTTTCCACGAGCGTGGCAGGGCTCTCCTCCATGCATTGGATTGTTTGACTCTTGAATCACCTCGGCAATGCGCACCTGGGTGGCGATGACAAGAGTGAACTCGCTGAAGAACGTGGCGTTGTCTTGAATGAGCGTGGCTGGGCTCTCCTCCACGAACCTCGCCGCCACACTCTCGTTCAGCTCCTGCAGCAGCGCTGTCACCGCCTGCGCTCGTGACGTGCCCAGGTGGGTGCGGTCCACTGAATAGTACATGCCATGCAGAGAGTAGGAAAGGGGAGAAGAGGAGGAGTCGATTCTCTCGGCTCCTGCAGCAGCGCTATCACCGCCTGCGCTCGTGACGTGCCCAGGTGGGTGCGGTCCACTGAATAGTACATGCCATGCAGAGAGTAGGAAAGAAGAGAAGAGGAGGAGTCGATTCTCTCGGCTCCTGCAGCAGCGCTGTCACCGCCTGCGCTCGTGACGTGCCCAGGTGGGTGCGGTCCACTGAATAGTACATGCCATGCAGAGAGTAGGAAAGGGGAGAAGAGGAGGAGTCGATTCTCTCGGCTCCTGCAGCAGCGCTGTCACCGCCTGCGCTCGTGACGTGACCAGGTGGGTGCGATCCACTGAGTAATAGGCACAATACAGAAGTAGGAAAATCGGGACGAGGAGGAAAGGAGGGGTACGTTTTGTCAGCTCCTGCAGCAGCGCTGTCACCGCCTGTGCTCGCGATGTGCCTCATAGGTAGATCTGGGTGAAGATGCATGCAAAACATGATGTATCTCCGGATTCGCATTGATTCACAATGCCAACTTGCCTTAGAGTTAGTATGCTAGCACGCAAGGACGCTACGCTAGCACGCCACATCACACCAACACCGATGCCCAACACATTTCCCTTTTGTACTGCCTTGAAGCTAGCATGCCACGCCACAGCACCCCAGCTTTCTCGTTTTTTTCTCTGTTTTAGCGAGCGAGCCATGCTGCCTTTCAAATGCATGACTCGCTCGCTAAAATGGAAAAGAAACCAGGAAAACTGGTGTGATGTGGCGTGGCATGCTAATGTCATGGCAATACGAGAGAGAATTGTGTTGGCATCAGTGTTGGTGTGATGTGCGAGCAAGCGTGCTTGCGTGCTAGCGTACTAACTCCAAGGCAGAACGTGAATCAAGGCGAATCCAGCAAGACATCAAGGTGAATCAGGAAGAAATAACTCCACCACCACTCACAACCCACCAAACACACTGAGCGCGACTCACGGAAGTTGTTGTTCCCAGGTCATGCGCCTCCACAGTGGCGCCATCCACTTCATTGAGTGCGCGCTCACAGTATCATCTCCACCACTCACCACCCATGCGAACCGCCAGGACTCACGGAAGTAGTTGTTCCCCAAATCGTGGGCCTCCACAGTGGCGCCATCCACGACGGTGAAGGAGCCTATCCCTCCCAGCACCAAATTCTTTAAAGCTTCCGTGCCCGTCGGCCCTGCTGTCAGCAGACACACGCGCGCCTGCTCCAACGCCCTCTGCCCGTGCTCGCCCCATATCCTGTAAATGGCAAAACAAGACAAGGCATGGCTTAGGTGGATGAACGCACACTCCCTCCTATCCCTCCCAGCACCAGGTTCTTCAGCGCCTCCGTGCCTGTGGGTCCTGCTGTCAGCAGGCACACGCGCGCCTGCTCCAGCGCTCGCTGCCCGTGCTCGCCCCATATCCTGAACAGCGGGAGCGGGTGGAGCCGAGATTTTGGTGAGATGGATCACCAGCATATACCGTGTTGCCCAAGCAGTTTCCATGTCTCGTGAAAACGAGCTACGGAGTTGACAAGGGAGGTGATTTGTGAAGCCTTTGGCTGAGTACTCCAAGCGAGTCGCACACAGCATACGGGTGAATTCTCCGCGAATATCCTCGCGAAAATCTACCCAATGCTTCGTAACTAGCAAAGCACTCGTCACGCAATGATGGCTGGACACCTCGAAAAGTGGTAACAAGTTGCGCACGTAACCAATGTGACATTGCTTCGACCGCTCATTCCAGACCGTGCGATCTCGCCTCTCACCTCAGCTGTCGATCGTACTTCTGCGAGTTCAGGACCAACAACGAAGTACTCGTTATGGACTGATTCGCGTCCCTGCTTTATTCACAGTCTGGCGACCCGTGCTACTCACCTCAACTGTCGGTCGTACTTCTGCGAGTTTTGGATCGCCACCATCGCGGCGCGCGATGCGGAGAGCTACCGAAAACGAGGGAGAAATGTGACCGTTGCTGGCTAGGATTCCTGGTGAGGGGGAAATTGCTGTCAGATGGCTGGAATTCAGGCACGTGGGATGGGTGGAAAAGAGCTTGTCAGATTCGTCCGATATACTGCTCTTCGTTGACAACATAGGCTATTCAATCAGTTCTTCGTGTAGCATTGTAAGAGGGTCGCTTGTCTTTTATCGGAGCAGAGCCATCCAAGTAACGAGTACAAAGTGTCTGGGTCCCTCGAGCCTCGTCGCATTTCCCTATTCCGAAAATTTCCTCGTCCTCCCGTTTCCTCTTTCATTCCTCTAGAATCACATTGCCAGTTCAACCCATCACTTACCTTGGTCCCTCGATCTTTACAGCTTCTCTTCTCTTTCACATAATCCGTCAGTTTGAGAACGAAACGTCTCGATACGCCGTCGCGACCGTCTTGTGCACCGTCAATCGCAAGTAGGATGCGCCATGGCCGCGGTCCCTATCGCCTCCCACCATGCCATCCTTCGGAACGAACAAAACCTTGTCACTGTTCTTACCGAGTCGCTCCACATCAGAGCCTTTCATACTTCACACCCACCCTCTCACGCGCGCCGCTCCACGTCATCCTCCTCATCATCGGCGCGCTTCTCTCTTCTTCCTCGCTTCCCGGCTCGCGCACTCTCGACGCCGCTGCTCCGCGCCTCGCGGTAGCGCAAGGCGGCGAAGCCGCGTCGCTGAAAGCCGCGTTCCTCGTTGAAACGTGGTCGGAAGCGTACGGGCTGGGCGGAGACTCCGTGCTCCCCCCTTCCGCCGTCTCCCTCCCCGCGGGCGTGCCCGCTGCGCCGCACCTGGAGGACTGCGCGCTAGTGAGCGCGGAGAGGGAGGCGTGGGAGCGGAGAGGCGCGCGGGGAGAGGAGCCCGCGTGGACGCGGGGAGCTCCAAGGAAGGCGCAGGCTGCTGCTGCTTCTGGTGATGGTGCTGGTGCTTTCCATGGGTGTTCCGGACAGGAGCAGGGGGAGGGGGTCCCGCAGCCGCCATGGGTAAGCGGATGAAGAGGATGGTCCAGTGATGAATTTGCTAGGTAGGGCTGCTGCTGTTGCTGCTGTTTTCCCTGGCTGCTCGGAAGTGCAGTGGGAGGGGGTTCTGCAGCCTCCTTGTAGAGAAGGGGCTAAGACTGTTCTTACTGAAGCATTGAGGCATCTTGGACGGTAATCTGGGACACTATTTTTCAGTGCTGGTTGGGGTACTACTCGGTGTTGCTGTCGTTCGTTGCCCGATTTGCGCCTGATTGCAGTCTCACTGTCCTGTCACTGTCAGTGCTGTAAGATATTGAAGACATGATGAGGAAAGTCAGGCTTTAACTTCAAGAGCTTCGCCTTGCTCCATCCTTCATCCCCACCACATTCCCACCACATCCCCACCACATTCCCACCACATCCCCACCACATCCCCACCACATCCCCACCACATCCCCACCACATCCCCACCACATCCCCACCACATCCCCACCACATTCCCTCCACATCCCCACCACATCCCCACCACATCCCCACCACATCCCCACCACATCCCCACCACATCCCCACCACCCAGATCAGAGGGCCGGATGAAGCCAATCTGCCGCTGACACGTGTCGTGCAGAGGGACATCTGGCGGAGCCAGTTCCCCCCCGGGGATTGCACGGACAGGCGGCTCCTTGTTGCCCACTGGGCCAAATCCACGTCGCATGGCGTTGGCTCCCAGGTGATTGCTCTTGCATGGGTGTGGTGTGGCGTGTCATGTGGTGTGGTGCGGTGTGGTGCGGTGTGTGTACTCTAGCACATGTGAGTCGACTCCTGAGTGTGGCCATGCGCCACAACCGCACCCTCGTGGCTATACGTGTGTGTGCCCTCTCTGGTGCACTACTGAGCACACTGTTATGTGTGTTGAAGCCTCACCCCTTACAACCCACGCACCAGATCCACTACCTGAGCGCACTGCTGAGTGTGGCCATGCGCCACAACCGCACGCTCATGTGCATGTCTGTGTGTGTCCTCTCATGTGCACTGCTTTAGAGGCTCTTATGTGTATCAAGCCTCACTCCACACCCCCCACCCCCCACGCACCAGATCCACTACATGAGTGCACTGCTGAGTGTGGCCATGCGCCACAACCGCACGCTCGTCGCTCAACCCGACAGCTTCGACCGCGCTCGCACGCCCTCCTGTGAAGGTCGGTGCATGGTATGGCGCATGGCATGGTATGGCACATGCACGGTGTGTGGCATGGCATGGCATGACATGGCATGGGATGGTGCATGACATGTTGCATAGCGTGCTGCATGGGTGTGTGTGTGGTAGTTGGTTTGCACATGCCACCAGAGTTACAAATTGAAGGGTTGGCAGAGGGGTGCTCTTACTGCTCAGTCAGTCCCCTATCACCACCTTGTGTCATCATCCCCTGCATAAGCCAACAATGTGCTTCTTCTCTTCTCTGTTGCCTCTTATGCCTTTTCTAAAAACTTACCCTCTCTTCCCTTCCCCCACACCCGCCCACACCCACCCCTCCCCGCCTCGATTCCTTCCCCTTCGTCCCTCCGTCTTCCCCCCCCCCCTCTCCCCCTCGCCCAACCCCCCCCTCCGGGTCTGTTCCCCGTCCCCGCAATCTAAGCTGCGGGTCACAACAGCCAATGGGAGTGCTTCTTCTTCCCGCCCGCCTCGTCAGCGTGCCGCCACGTCATCCAACAGGCGCTGATGCAGAACCTTGAGAAGATTCCCTGGGCGAAGGAAGATCCTGCTGACGTGGCAGCGGGGGACGATCCGATCGTCATCGTTGGATACACCAACCCAACGATGCTCTTCATGGAAGCCGGAGCGGTAGAGTGCGTGCTCAAACAAGCTCAAACAAGCTCTGATCCTTGTGCTAGCAGGAATGTATCGTGCTGCTCTTCCTCATGTGCGGAAACCCCCAGGAACCTGGGTTTTGCGTTCATGTAGCGCTTGTATCGCCAACCCGACGATGCTCTGCTCTTCATGGAAGCCGGAGCGACAGTGTGCGTTCTGAACTGTACGACCGCTCAAATTTCAGTTGCATATGTATTTAAACATCTAAAAACTTCAAAAGCACGTCGCATCACTCATAGTTGAGTCATTCCAAAATCCTTCTTTGCAGACTCTCTCCTGACCTCGCCCTGCACTTAGGACAACAGATTCTCTTCCCTCCATTTCCCCGTTTCCCCTCCTCCTCCGCGCTTCCTTCCTCCCTGCCCCTCCCCTTCAGCCTCTGGGGTGACGCCTTTCTGGCCTCTCCCTGCACTGTTCAGATGGATGGCAAACTCACTCCCCTCTTGTCGCCGTTTTTGTTTTACCTCCGTTCTTCCTCCCTCCCCCTCGCCTTGACCCCTCGCCTTCAGCCTCTGGGGTGACACCTACCTGGCCTCGCCTTGCACTGTGCAGCTGAACGGCAAACTCGCAGCTCTTTCTGGACCTCAACGCAAGGTAGTAAGCTGCCTTTTGCACTGCAACCAGATTGATGGAACAGGTCAATTATGAAACACACTGGATGCGCCCGCCACCAGCCACTCACTGCTGTCACACTACCAACCCCACACGCACACATGCCCCTATGCCAACACAACCACCATTTCGTCCCCATGGAGTGCAGGAGAGAGACGTGTTGCGCTGCATGCTGCAGTCGTATCACGCGGAGGAGCAGGTGGTGCTGGCAGGTGCACTGGTGGCGGGCATAGGCAGTGCAATTCATCATGCAAAGGAGCAGGTGGTGAGAGAGTGCGCCACCACATGCTCCTCCACGTGATGCGACTGTAGCATGCAACGCAGCAAGTTCCTCTCCTGCACACCATGGGGACGAAATGGTGGCCGTGTTGGCATGGGGGCAAGTGCGCGTGTGGGGTTGAGAGTGTGACAGCAGTGAGTGGCTGGTGGTGGACACACCCAGTGTGTTTCATATATGCCTTGTTGCCATGCCTTCCTCTCTATCCTCTCCCCTTCCCCCTTCTCCATGCCCCAAGGTGCACTGGTGGTGGGTGCAGGCTATGCGCTTCAGCCTGATTTGTTCTCGTGAGCTGTCCCCTTTATCTTTCCCCCTGGTTCTTCCACCCCTCATGCCTCCAGGTGCACTGGTGGCGGGCGCAGGCGGTGCGATTCATCATGCGGTGGCCGTCGGCGCATCTCTGCCATGTCACCAACCAGGAGAGGCACCGCGCCTTCGCCATGCTCGCAGCCAATCTCGTCGCTCGCTTCCTGCACACCCAATCAGAAACCCTCTCCTCCCTCTCTCACAGCACCGCCCCTGCTGCTGCCGCCTTTGCCGCTGCCGCTTCTGCCGCACCTATTGCTCTCAACGTCCCAGCCAATGCTACTGACTGGGAGGCAAGGAGGCGAAGAGCGGCAGATCGGTTGGCGGCTCTTGCAGGCTCCTCCCTCTCCTTCCACTCAGACGCCACTGGCAGTGCCACAGGGGGCGGTGACAATGACAATGGCAACGGCTCGGATGCCAGCTGGTCGCTAGGAGTGCAGGAGCCGTACATGCCGCGGCCTATAGTGAGTCTGCATGTAAGGGGTACAGACAAGTTTGCAGAGATGGGGCTGACCTCCCTCGACTCCCACCTCTTCCAAATCAACCGCCTCCGCCAGCACGGGCTTGACCTCTCCCACGTCTGGCTCAACACCGAAACTCAGGTGATTTGCTTTCCAAATGACATCCTGCCCGTGTCCCGTTCCCGTTCCAAGTATTTCTCATCCGCTTTCAATCCCTTCCTGCTGCTGTTCCTGCCAGACGTTCTGCGTCCTCCCCCCCCATCCGCCTTTTCTCCTTGCACCACGCAGGCTAACGTGGACCGAGCAGCGGATCACCTCTCCTGGAGTTTCTTCTACTCGTCGAATGCGCGGCAGCAGGAAGCTGTGGGAGGGCTGCGTGAGTATGAGTGGGCGCAGTCTGTGGCCGTGAGCTTGGCAAGCGTGCTGATTGCTGCTCAGTGCGATTACTTAGTTGGAAGCCTCGGCTCCAACTGGAGCCGCCTCATGAACGAGCTCCGCTCCACCAACGGCCGGCTGGGTGCTGGATTCATTGCTGATAATGTTGAGGAATGGTGACACAACATTGTGTTTGGTTAGGATACATACGAGGTGGTGGGTGATAGGGGAGTAAAGGATGTCTTGATGTTATATCTATCTGGAGTGGTTGGGTTGGGTGGTTAGCCTTTGATGAGCATTCAATTTGTTCATTCATGTAGTTCTCACATGGAGCATCATGTTGTGTATGGAGGATAACGTGCTTGTTGCTTACACCTAAAAAACGTATAAATTTGTTCAGTTATCTTGGCAGCTACTTTCACTGCAGTGATGAAATCAGTCTCATTTGCTAATCTCGAGGTAATCTGTCCGAGCTCACAATAGTGGAGCGCACTGGACAATATTTATCATCTATTTCTCATAGGTTCTCCTTCCTTCTGCTCCATCCTTCTTCCCATCAAACCGCCTCGAGCTCCCCACTTCCGCATGCGTCGCGGACAGAACAGCAATTTGTACCACATAGTCAGTGCAAAGCTTGGACACGCGGCAACTAGGAACACATTCTTCCAACAAGGCAACTAGAAGTACATTCTTCTAAGCTATCACAACAATCTGTAGTGGTCATGGCTAGCGACATGGATGACAGTCACGTAGTCGTTGCTCTCATTGAGAATCGTGCGCGAGAGGTATGAGCCGTTCGCTGTTCCACTCGCTCCGTCGCATTCTGATCAAACTGAAATGTGCCTTGCACTCGTAGGTCGGACTCACCGCCTTGGACCTGAGATCCGCAACTCTGCACTTGAATCAGTATATTGAGAGCAGCAAGTCATACCAGAACACGCTGACCTTGCTACAGTATTTCAAACCATCTGAGATTATCGTTCCAGCACGAATGGCCGATTTAGCGGAAGGCATTGGCGGAGCCATGGCTCTTGCTTCTCATTCTGCCTTCGCTGCCGCTCGTAAGGTAGGAATTCTTGCGAATTGGCCGATCCTGGTATTTTTGGCTCGCAATATTCACTGGTTTTTCCAACAGGTGACACTGGCACGTGGCTGTTTCGACGACGTCAAGGTCAGCGGCGGAACCTTCATCATAATTCCTTCACAAAGGAAACGCTTATTCTGAAACTTTTTTGTTCTTCCCGTTCAGGGTGCGTTACTTGTCCAATCTTACACCAATGGAAAAGCCAATGGGACGAACGTTGATAGGCACTACAAGGAGTATTATCTTTGCCTTGGTGCTGCATCTGCACTTCTAAAGTGGTGAGTGTGCAGAGAGGCTATATCCATGAAGGCATTTTCTAATCTTAACCCTTGTCTAGCAGGGTTGAAAGCGAGAAGTCAGCGGCAGTTATGCAGAAGTCCCTTCAGGTCACTTTCAATGGCTCCCTCAACCACTTGTCAATAGATGCTACCAGGTACAGTAGATGCGTCAGCACACACACAGATCTTAAGAAATCTCGACTGCTGACCACTTTCCCTGTGCGCAGCATACAGAATCTGGAGGTGATAGAACCACTGCCAGGAAATTCAGAAAGGGATGGCAAGAAAAAAGCCAGCCTCTTTGGTGTCCTCAATTCAACAAAGACAGTGGGCGGGTGAGCACCAGCTGCCTTTGCTTCTTGTCCAGATAATTCATAAAGAACCCTCACATGTGCTCTCTGTGCCAAGCAGGGCGCGGCTTCTTAAAGCGAATCTTCTCCAGCCATTGAAGGACAAGGAAACTATCAAATTACGACTGGATTGCTTGGTAATACGCATTGAAAGTGCTCAAGTTCTTTAGGCTCCTTCAAAAAACGCCTGAACTGAAGTGGATCACATTTGCAGGAGGAAATCATAAACAATGAGTCTCTGTACTCAGCACTGTCAAACATCCTCCAGCAATTCCCAAAAGATCTTGGTATGCTGCAAGGGGGGATGTTTGTAGATTGGTCGAAAACTTGGCTTATACAATCATAATTGTGCAGATCGTATTGTGACAAGCTTCGCATTTCGTCCACGCAAGGCTGCCGATGATGGCACAGGGAGTGCAACCACTCGGAGAAACATGGTGATTCTTTCAAGCATCATCCTCTTGCGAGAGACTCTACTTCTTGTACCCCGACTTGCTGAGGTATATGATTGTTTTTGTCTGACTTGTATTCGTCATCGTTGCTTGAAACTAACGCAATCTTTTATTGCCGTACTCTCAAGGCTTTGAGTGGTGCTAAGTGTAGCCTGCTAACAAGCATACGGGATATTGTTTGCAAGCAGCAAAGCTTTCCAGATTTGTTGAAGGAGTAAGGCGCCTTGTGCAGTTTCAACTTTCCTAATCATCCATGATTGATTGGCTTACATGGAGGCACTGATGCAGGATTGAAAGCATTCTTGATGAGGATGTCATGCATTCAAGGTCCCCGTTTATTGCTCGAACACAGCAGTGTTTTGCAATCAAGGCTGGCTTTGATGGCTTCTTGGATGTTGCCAGGCGCACCTTCTGTGCCACTAGTGAAGGTGAGGAGACTGTTCCTTTCATCAGTGTGATCCAAGATATATTTATACACTTGCGCTAATCCAAATTTTCTAATTACGTCATGCCAGCTATTCACTCCCTAGGAAAGTCATATCGTGAACAGTATTCTCTTCCAAATCTTCGACTTCCATTCAACAACAGACGAGGATTCTACATCACAGTTCCAGTTAAAGATGTGAAGGGAAAGAAGTTCCCTCCTGTCTTTCTCCAGGTATAGCGTTTTCCACTTAGTGGGATTCGTGAAGGATATGCTGTGTCTATAACTCTTGCATGACAGGTCAGCAAGAATGGAAAGAATTATCAGTGCACAACACAAGAGCTGGTGTCGGTAAGCATTGATTGCGTGTACTTGGCTCATAGAAATGGTCACGCTCTTGTAACAATGATCACGCTCTTGTTACAAGCTTGCCTCATAACAAGTACTTTGAAGTATACTTGCAGCTTAACATTCGAAATAAGGAAGCTTCAGCTGAGTGTTTTCTTCGGGAAGAGCGCTGCCTTGAAGGTGTGCATATTTCTTTAACTGATTTGACAACTATCGAGCTTGTTAGCATTGCTGCAGGTCAACGTTTCCCATGAATCTGCTGAAGCTACTGCATTCTGATAGCAGGTTTATGTCAACGAATTAGGGAGGAACTGACAGTGTTCTCTTCACTTCTGGAGAGCATCTTCCTCCTCGATATGATCACAAATAGCTTTGCATACATTGTGACAACAAACCCAGTGGACAGCTATGTCCGCCCTGAGTTCACAGGTACGTTAAGGTGATTCATTGCTACTATGTTTACTGCGATACTTATTGCATTTCTGCTCTAACTCAGATTTTGGACCTTTGGCTATTGATGGTGGTCGACATCCGATTGCTGAGGGCCTTCTCCAAGATGCCTTTGTGGTGAGCCTTGTTTGCTATTAAAATATGTTATTCGTATCACATGCGTGTTAATATTTCCCTCCATCTTACCTTGCAGGCAAACAACACGTTTATGTCAGAGGCCTCAAACGCAATGATCATCACTGGCCCTAACATGTATGCATACTGCAACTCAATTGTTGGTCAAGTACACTAATACTATGCTGAGCTCTGGTTCTCCCATGCCAGGAGTGGAAAAAGCACCTACCTTCGCCAGGTGGCTTTGCTGACTATCATGGCTCATATCGGCTGCTACGTTCCTGCACGGTTCGCATCCTTTCGAGTGGTTGATCGCATATTCACAAGAATTGGCACTGGAGAAAGCATTGAAGAGAATTCAAGCACGGTACATATCCGTGTATCTGCTTAACTTTACCGAGTGCATGATCGCTCTTCCCACTTATAATCCTTGTTTGCTTGCAGTTCCTCACAGAAATGCGTGAAACTGCTTTCTTGATGGACCATCTGACTCCAAGGTTTGTGTGTAAATCTTGTTTATTGCATAGTCAACCGCCAAGCATAACCATCATACGTTGTTTTTCAGGAGCCTTGTGGTAGTTGATGAGTTGGGATGTGCAACATCAACACTTGATGGTCTTGCGATTGCGTGGAGCTGCTGTGAGCACCTTCTCACGTTTCCTTCGTATGTGAATTGACCTTTCTGCACTGAATTCAACGTATTGTATACTCCATTTTTTTGTTCTCTGTAACCCCCATCGTGTTGTTGTGCATATTTGCAGGTACATAATATTCGCAACTCACATGAAACAGCTTGGTGAGCTGGCCTCCATTTACCCCAATTGCAAAGTGTGCTATTTCTCAGTTGGAGTCAGCAACGAGAGACTTGCCTACAAGGTATGGTCTGCAGCCCAGCATATGCAATGTTCTCATGCTTTCAAGGCTAATGTCTGAGTCATCTGGCAGTACGTGCTGAAGGAGGGATACACTGACGTGCCTCACTATGGGTTGCGGCTTGCTGAAGCGATGGGTTTCCCAGCAGCAGTCATGTCTGAAGCTCAGCGGATTGCTGACATCTTGGAAAAGCAGGTACTGTACAAACTAGGCTGTCCCTTTTGTGACTCTCCAATGCTTCCATATCTGTATTATCTCGTGGTTGGTTCGCCAGCAATCAAGGCGATTGGAGATAGGCTACAGCAAGTTTACTGCACTCCGCCGGGATTACGTTGTGGCGCAACGTCTTTTATGCTTGCAGCAGTCCAATCTCAGTGACTCAGAGCTCCAAGATTATCTGCTGAAGCTCAAAGCAAGCTACCTGGATGGTACTCTTGTGTGATCTTGATGGGTAGATTTCATTGCAGGTGTGATGCATTGTGAATGCAACACCAATAGAGGACGTCATCAACAACTCTACTGTACAGTTCCAATGCATAATAATAATTTCACCAGAGCTACAATAGTCTTGACTGAGCAATAGCTCAGAGGATTGGTGCACCGCCACAAATTATTGAGAGCATTGAATTTGCTATTCAGCACCATCAACCAAGCTGGGCTTGCAGCAAACATCCAGAACAACATGCCGAATGTGTGGCGCATACCATTTCACCCGCTCCAAGTGCATTGCCTTCACTTCCCAGCTTCTCCCCTCCTCTCTTGCCAGCTTTTCGAACTCCCCCACAACATAGTCAGTCCACTGCTGCTCCTCCACATCAACTGCATTCCCATGCACATGCGCAACACCCCCTTCCCTTGGCTTCAGGCAGCGAATCGCAGTCCTCCAGCTGGCCTCACTCGAAGGAATCAAGCCCAGCAGCACCCGATCAGCAACCCCCACTGGGGCAACCACCCTGTTATCCCCCTCCAGCACAGTGTAGCGATCTGGCGAAACCTGATTGGCTGCGAGACTGGACCGGAGGCCGTGGACAGCCGCAGGGTTCCACTCACAGGCGAACACGTGGCGGGCACGGGAATGCACAAGCAACGGAATTGTGAAATACCCAATCCCAGCAAAAAGATCTACCACCACTTCCCGGTCATGAAGCCTGAGTGCGGCCATGCGCTGCTTCTCAGTACCATTCCCAGACGAGAACATGCACCTGGCAGCATCGAATGTGTACTTGATGCCATTCTCTCGGTGCTCCACCCACGAGGAGGACCCCAGCAGCAGCTGCAGCCGGCTGTCTCTAGTCAATGTGGGTGCCACAGGCGCCTGCATCAACCCAGTGTGAGACAGAAAGGGGCACCGGAGAAAGAGAACGAGAAGGAGAGAGAGATGCTGGTTAAAGCAAGAGCAGTGACTATTGCCCAGCAATCTGCCCTTCCAACTTTTACCCAAAATCGAAACTGTGGGAAAGGTGCCAGTCTCACCTGCCGGGCCACTCTTGCTGCTCCAAGAGCCTTGGCAACAACCTGCCAGAGCTCCGGTCCGAGCCTGTCCCAAGCCTCCCCGAGCATGGCATCAGCTGGCAGCACCACCATGTCTCCCAGCCGCTCCCAGCGGGCCGGCAGGTGAGAGAGAAGGGATAAGTGAGTGGCAGTGGGTTGACTGTTCTCTGAAGAATTGAGCTGCTTTGCCTTGAGGTGAAGGAGAGAGTGGATGGCATGGTGGAGGCGCTGAAAGGGAGTGAGAGGGCGAGCAGGTGAAGGGGAGAGGTGCAGCTGTGTGAGCACTGCGGCTGCTGCTGCTGCTGCTGCTGCTGGCTGTGATGCTGCTGGCTGTGATGCTGCTGTATTCGATGCTGCTGGCTGTGATGCTGCTGTATTCGATGCTGTGGCTGACATGCCCCCTAAGTCTGCTGCTACAGCCTCAACTGCTGTAGGCTGCTGCTCTTGTGCTGGTCCTGATACAGCTGTTGACACTGGTGCTGCTGGCACTGACACCGTTGGTGGTGCCATGCACACACCATCCATGGCAGCAATGGTGCTAACAGCAGACTCGCACACAGGCAGCGCCAGCAGCAACTCACCACCGTCACCAGCAGCAGCACTTGACCTCCTAGCACTGACATGTGATACTTCGGGATTGACATCAGGGTTCACTGTGGCTGGCTTGCGGGTTTTGTCTAGAGCGCCACGTGTCTGTAGCGCATCCTTCCACCGCTTCCCCTCCCTCCGTGGAACCAGCAACACCCACCCCAATCCTCCCTGTGACTGCCGAACGAGATCCCGATCCTGAGCCTGTTGCTCCTGTCGTTCCTGCTGCTGCTCCTGTTGCTGCTGCTGCTGCCCCTGCCGCTGATGGCTAGCATATCCAATCTTTCCTTGAAGAATTCCTCTCAGAGGGATCACAAAAGGAGGGCTAAAGACCGATCCAAATGCAAAGCAGGCAGCACCACCCCCCAGCACTAGCAGCCTGTCCCCTACAGTAGAGCCTCCGATTGCACCCCCCCCTGCCAAGGAGCCCCCCTTCACTACACTGGCAGTGTGGCGCACAGGCAGAGCAGCAGGAGGCAGAGAGACGGGGATTCGAGACACCTCATTGGATGCGGTGTTCACTAGAACAATTTCCGGGCCTGCCCGGGAATGTGGGCAGCCCCCAAAAATCAGAAGGTGCTGCCCGTATGTGGTGAGGGAGTGTGAGAACCGTTCAGGGATCGCGACTGGGGCAGAATCCCAAACCTTGGTCCAACGAACATGCAATCTGTTGACATTCATACCACTACTGTTGCTGATATTGCTGTTGTTGCCACTGTTGCTGCTGCTTGCTGCGGGTTCCATTTGCGGGTTTCGAGGCGCCTCGCAGTCCCCAACAGCCGGATCGCTGCTCACAACCTCAAAAAAGAAGAGATCAGAAAATACCCTCTGGGAGTCTCGCCCTCCAAAAAGATACACCTGGGTACCGACCGTAGCCATGGCATGGGAGTGGCGAGGAGCAGGCATCTGCCCGGATGCCACGGGGTCGGGCAGCCAGGAAAAAGACCGGGCGGAAAAGACCTGAAGGGAGGTGAGGGGAGGGGCGTGGGGATGGGACGTGCCTCCAAAGACAAAGACCGATGACCGCAGTGCTGCTGCTGCATGGCGATACCTTGCCACGGGTGCACCTGTAGCAGCTGTAGCAGCAGTAGCATCTGTACCAGATATAGCAGCAATTGCTTCTGGTAAAGCAGGGGTAGTAGCTGTAGTTGCAGTTGCTGCTGTAGCCTCTCCAGACGGTGCCTCTGGTGCTGCCGTATGGCGCCACGTCATGGAGCGGAGATTGAGGGAGAAGACATCAGCGAGGGCAGCTGTGGGACCATGCCTGCCTCCTAACACCACCATCTCCTCCTCCCCCTCTTCCCCCTCCTCCCCCTCCTCCCCTTCGCCCTCCTCCTCCTTTGTCTCTCCTCTATCACTCGCCTCACTACTCTCTGCTCCCTTGGCCTCCGCTCCGCTCCCGCTCACCGCTCCCCTCCCTTGCCCCACTCTAACCACAGTGGCAGTGTGCCACATGCGAGGGCTCGGCCCGCTTCCCCTTGTTTCCACAACACGCCCTTCCACCATGACCCCCCTCTCCCCTTCCCGCTTGCTTCCACCCCCTCCCGCCACCGCTCTCCCTCTCATTGTTACCACTACCACGTCCCCTCGCCTGCTGTGCACCCCACTCCCCCCGAACCCTCCAAACACCACCACGGCTGTCCCTGCTGTCTCTCCTCTTGCTTTCTCTGCTTCGGACGTCCCTGCAACTACTGAACCTCCATCTGTTGCTCCAGCCCCTCCTGCGCCTACAGCTCCCACAACTGCGCCCACAGCTCCCACAACCGTCACAGCTGAATGGCCCCACCGCAAAAGGCTGCCTTCGGGCAGACCCAGAACCTTTACCACCTGCCCACGCAGCTGCCCGCCCTGTGCCTTGCTTCCTGGCAGGAAGAATCCATCCAATCCATGAGCTGATTCTTCTGATTCTTGTGATGCTTGCGTTTCTTGTGATCCTGTGGGCATATCCCATGCGCTGCTGCAGCAACCACCTGCCACGTCCTGCAATGGGTACGGCGCCATGCATGCACCTGCACCTGCGCCTGCCAGTGCGGGATGCCCAGAGGCCCCTGTGGAAGCAGGTTCAGGTGCTGTCAGAGCGGTGCAAGGCGGTGCCTCCCCAACCACACCACCTCGTAGCAGCTCCAGCACCCGCCTCTCCACCTCCCCTACTCTCCGCAGCACTGCCACCTGGCGTTGTGCCACCTGGCGTTGTGCCACCTGGTTGCCCTGCTGCTGCGCCAGCTGGCCATTCGCTGCCTCTTGCTGGCCTTTTGAGCTGCGCCGTGCTGCTTTTCTAGGATGAGACTTGGGCGTTGCGTGTGGGCTGTGTGTTGGGTTGAGTGGTGTGGGTTGCGGTTGGGATGGTTGGGGTGGAGGATGGGAGAGGAGGGAGCAGCTGCACTGCAGCAAGGGAGGGGAGAAGGGAGGAAGGCGGTGGGAAAAGGGTGAGGAAAGTGACAAGTGGGAAAGCAAAGGTAAGCGGGAAGGAAGTGGAAAACAAGAAAAGAAGGGTGGGGAGGATTGGCTGTCCCCTTGCCACGTGAAAGAAGGAGTGTTTTTAGACGTCTCAAGGGTGGGGAGGATTGGCTGACCCCTTGCCACGTGAAAGAAGGAGTGTTTTGAGACGTCTCAAGGGTGGGGAGGATTGGCTGTCCCCTTGCCACGTGAAAGAAGGAGTGTTTTGAGACGTCTCAAGGGTGGGGAGGATTGGCTGTCCCCTTGCCACGTGAAAGAAGGAGTGTTTTGAGACGTCTCAAGGGTGGGGAGGATTGGCTGTCCCCTTGCCCGTCAGCTCGTCCCCACCTGATCCCACTCGCCCCTACCTACCTACCTACTACCCACCCCGTCCCCCCTCACCCCTCACCTCCTCCTTGAACCGCGCTCGGAACCGCTCGGTGCGTTCATGGTTGGTTGAGAGCTATGTTGTCATTGGTTGGCCACCGCCACTTCAAGCACCATCACCCTACCCAGCTGGGCTGACCCACTCCCACCCACTCCCACTCACTGTCACCCACCCCCACCCTTCCTCCTACCCGCCCTCACCTCCTCCTTAAACCGCGCTTGGAACCGCTCGGTGCGCTCGCGGTTGAGCGCCATCTTGCCGTTGGCCACCGCCGCCAGCTGGCGCACGTACGCCTCGCCCACCAACGGCACGCCGCCAGCCGTCAGCGGTGTCTCGAGGCGGATGGAGCAACGGACGGCCGTGATGATGCGCTTTGCGCTCACACTGGTGATGCCTGGAGGAGGAGGGGGGGGGGGTGGGGGTATTGGGCGGGAAAGGGGAAGAATAAAGGGGAAGAGGGGGAACGAGCGGCCCAAAGCGAGGGTCGTGAGGGCACCACCCAGAACCCGCCCAAACCCCAAAACCCAAACTCCTAGTTCCAAGCCAAGCCCTCACCTGACTCCCGAAAGCCTGCGCGGATGGCGCAGGACACGAGGGCCTGCGCGGCGACGAGGGAGCGGCACTCGAGGGCGAGGATGAGCGGCTCGAAGCGAGAGACATGAGGGTATGTGACTTATACCCCAAACCCCGAAAGCCAAACCCCGAAACCCTTGCTTCCATTCCCTCACCTGATTCTCTGAAACCCGCGCGGATGGCGCAGGACACGAGGGCTTGAGCGGCAGCGAGGGAGCGGCACTCGAGGGCGAGAATGAGCGGCTCGAAGCGAAACACCAGCTCGCCGGGGAGAGCGGGCGGAGATGCGCAGGTGACGGGGGTGATAATGCTGCTGCTGGCGCTGTTGCTGTTGCTGACGTCGGCATCCGCGTGGGCAGTGCTTGTACTGAAGACGGCAGTAACGAGGTCGGCAGGATCGATGGGGTCATGGCTGACCAACAGCCACTCGCCGCCCTGCTCGTGGCGCGGGTAGGGGAGAGTAAAGGGGGAATTACGATGGTATTAGGGGAAGTGTGGAGGGCTGTATTGTTAGGGAGAGGATGCATGCAGTGCTTGCTTGCACGCGCTACATCTCCCGCTCCTGATGTCAGAGATTTGTGAGAAGTGTGGAGGGCTGTATTGTTAGGGAGAGGATGCATGCAATGTTTGTTTGCCTCTCCCTCGGGAGATACGCGAAAGCTTGCTTGCACGCGCTGCGTCTCCCGCTCCTGATGTCAGAGATTTTGTGATTTTTTTTCGAGAGATTTTTAGGAATCGCATGTGCGGCGGCGAGCCTACTCGCCCCCATGAGACCCACCCTCGCTTTCTTCTTCACTCGCTTCGCCGCGCCCGCGCTATCCGCCGCAACTCCTTCCCCTCCTCTTTCTATTTCAGCAGTAGCAGCACCGGCGGTGCCGGCGCCAGCACCACCAGAAGCAGCAGGAGCGGCTGCGGCAGTGGCGGTGGCGGCGGCGGCGGCGGCGGCGGCGGCGGCGGCGGCGGTGTCATGCGGTTCGAGGAGCAGCGAGATGCGGCCGGAGCACGAGCTGGTGGTGAAGAGATCATCGTGGCCGTTGATTTCCGCCACCAGATCCGCGATCGGCGCATCCAGGCCGCCCTTGAGCGACTTGTCGCGCTCCACCGACGCCAGCGCCGCCAGCACCGCCGCCTTCCGCGCGTCGAAGCCCTCGTCGGCCATCGCGGGGAGAGATGCTCGCGATGCTCGCAATGCTCGCGACAGTCGAAATAGACGTCTACCAAGTGACAAGACGCCCTCGCTGCTTCGTATGCTAATTAACAAGCCGCCCTGAGCGCATTGCCTACCAAGCATACACGTGGGTGGGAGATCGGACGGTGGTGACAGGAGGACGGGAGTGTCGGTGAACTACAGGCAACTGAGCACGGCGGCTCGGGGTTTTAAAAATGGTTTGGATTCTGTGTGTTTCGAGGGAAAATAATTTTCTGCAATAACCTCCCTCCTTGGAAACACACCACTTAGCATTCTGGAACGCCTGTAACCGTACCGAACCGTACTAGAATATGATCGGCTTGCGGCGGCCTAAACTCGGTAACACAGCAATCTATTCTTGCCATACTCATCACCACTCTGCGCCGTAGCAAACCAGCTAGCACCCTTTTGTACAACCACGGGTGACAAGTGCCTGCTTACTTCCTGGCACTTTTTCGCAGCGACCATTCGTTGCGGCTGTCCTTCCGCCTTCCGCCTTCCGCGTGGACTCGGCGTTTTCAAGCGACGCAATAGTCCTTCCCGCCTTCACTATGGCCTCCGCCCCTCCTGTGCGCGCGGAACCATGGACTCCGCCGCTGCCCGCTAAACCCGCACTCCCCCCTTCCGCGCCTCCCCCTTCCGCTCAACCAGCTCCGCCGCTCCCCTTCCATCTCTGGCGGCGCCGCCAGCAGCGCCGCGTGCGCTCCGCGTTCTCCGCCGCGTCTGGCGCGCGGAAGCAGTGGGATGCCGCCTCGGCGGATGGGCTGCGCGCGGCGACAGCTGTCGTGAACCGATTGGTGCAGCTGAAGTGAGTCCAGGCGTCGCGGTGAAGAGTATTTTAGCGAATATAACCATATCGAGTACAGACGATGAGCGATGAATTATGTAGCACAGTTTATGGCGCTGATGTAAATAGGTGCTGAACATACCCGGGATCCGCTCCACTTTCCCTCCACTCCTCCCCACTTCTCCCCACTCCTCTCCACTCCTCTTCACTCCTCTCTGACTGCGCGGCCAGCTACCCAGCAAGGACATGGGGGCGTTGGGGGGCATGGAGGGCTTCGTGGGCAGGGCTGCGATGAAAGCATGCCTTGAGATTTACTCCTCTCCACTCCCCTCCACTCCTCTCCAATCCTCTCCACTCCTCGCGCAGGCAGCTACCTGGCAAGGACCTCGGGGCGGTGGGGGGCATGGAGGGCATCGTTGAGAGGGCAGCAGAGAAGATCCGACGCATTATGGTGCTCATGCTACAGGGACTCGTTTTATTGTGACTCGTTTTAGTGTGGCTCGTTTTAGTGTGGCTCGTTGTAGTGTGAATTCCTTTACTGTTTATTGTAGTGCTAAAATTCAACCAGCGGTTTTCTTCCCCACACCTTCCCTTCCCATTCTCGCTCTCTGTCATCCCTCACTTGCTCCCTTTCTTCTCCACCCCTCCCGTCTCCTCTGTCTTCTCCTCTTGCCCCTCCATCTTTCCTCTCTCACACATCGCCCTTCTCATTCTCCTTTCCACTGCGCCACGCGATGCATTGCCGCCATGGCCCATCAGGAGGAGGATCTATGCACGCTGCGCCGCTGCTTGAATGACCTCGTGAGTTGACGGGGAGGGGGGAAGGGGAGGAGGGAGGGATAGACGAGAGCTCGAGAACTTGCAGTTACCTTTCGCTCCCCATTTGCCACAATCTCCCCATGCCCCCCCCCCTCACTCACTCCTTTCCTACCATCCCCATTCTCTCTGCTTCCCCATTCACTGCACGCCTTGACGTCATCTGCTCTGCCCCTGCTGGCTACACTTTCCCGCAACCAGGCCCTTAGTCTCTCCACTTCTTCCCTCTCTTCCTCCCCTTCCCCCTCGCCCTCATCCTTCCTTCAGGCTGCAGCAGTCGACGCCCTCGTCCCTGCCCTGCTACCCATCTACCCGCCCCCCCACATACCACCTCCCCTGCATGCACCTGACACAACGGCCCTCCCCCCAGCAGCACCTGAATCCACAGTTGCGCCCTTCACTTTTGCCACCTCACTGGCAGCGCCTGTGCCATTGTCAGCAGTGTCAGCACCAGCACCAGCAGCAGCAGCAGCAGCACCATCGCCATTTCGAGCATCAGCAGCTTCAGTGTCACCCTCCCCCTCAGCTGGAGTGTGGGATGCATATGAGGTGTGGCAGGAGGCATGGCAAGAGAGAGACATGTACCCTGACGAACCCATCTTCACCGCTCTCCGTCTCTCAGTTTTCGGTTCGTTGCCTTTCGCAGCAGTTCCTCATCGGCTTGTCCCCTATTCATGTTCTTACCTCCCCTTGCTCATCTCACCTCCCCTTGCACCCTGTCAGCTTTATGCTCTCTCCTTGATGCAGGCCTCGTTTGTCATTAAGCATACTCATATCTTCTCTCAATCTCTCCTCACACACCCCCCTCCTCACACATCTCCCTCCGCACAAATCTCCCTCCTCACACGTGCGTCAGAGAGGTGGGCTGGGGACGTGGCAGCTATGTTTCGCAGAGAGCTGCTGGTCAAGGTGAGATGGATGAAAACGCTTAGCTAAGCAACCTCTGGTGACGGCCGGACGCACAGATATACTTAAGCATGTTGCAACCACCTTCGCATCTGTGCAAAAAAAATCCTTGTTTCCCACTCTGCACGCAATGTTTTCTGTTGTGCTCTTCACTCTCAACTCGGGTGTCGTTCTAATCTGTATCACGATAGCATCACTATCATCTCACAGTTCCTCCTTCCCCTCTTCCTCATGCATCCCTCTTCCTCATGCATCCCTCTCCTCCCCACCAGCGTCTCATACTCTCTTCACTCAACTCAGCAGTCAGACATGAAGCCGCCACCACCACCACTGCACGCACCACCACCACCACTCCAAATACCTCTCTAACCTCCCAAAGCCCGCTTAAACACCCTCTCAACATCCCTCCACTGTGCCTGCCATGCGCCGCCTCGCCACCTGCCACTGTGCCTGCTCCCAAAGCTGATGCCACTCTTGATGCAAGTGCTCTTGCTGTGGAGGAAGGAGCGAGCCCAGGCGAAACGGTGGAAACAGGTGGAGGCAGGTTGGAAGCAGCAGGAGCAGCAGGAACAACAGGAGCAGGCAGGGCAGCCACATCACGAGACGAGGACGGCCGTGAGACACCAGCGGCAACAGAAGAAGAGGCTGCGAGCGAGGCAGCAGCGGAGGGAGAAGCACCGGGTTGTTTGCAGGGAGAGGGAATTGGGACTGGTGGGGGGGATATGGAGACAGGGATTGGTGGAGAGCGCGGGGCAGGAGGGAATGGGGGGCGTGGTCAAGGAGGGAGTGGCATGCTGGAGGGGCAGAATGGATTGAAGGGACAGGCATGGGCAGAGGGACGCGGACTGTCACACGGGCTTAGTGCAGCAGAGGGTTGTGAGTGGGCGGTGGTGCAGCAGCAGTTGGAGCAGTCAGGGCTGCTTGCCCGCTCGCCCACACCTCAACAGCTCCAGGTGAGCTGCCTTGTGTGCTCTTGGGGGATTTTTTTAAACTTCTCAAAAGTGACTCAAACAGTTGGGGCTACTTTTCCACTCGCCCACACCACAACAGCTACAGGTGAGGTGCCTTGTGAGCTCTTGGGCGATTTTGTTTCCTCTGAATACGCACAACCCTCACACAACTGCAGAAGAGCACGTACCTTTGCATTGTGTTTGATCCAACCAGTCAGTGGGTGGTTCTGTTATTATTTTGCACATCACGTTTTTGTCTGTGCTTGCTTGCCTGCTCTGTGGCAGGTGTGTGTGGTGGCGTGGCTGGTGGAGATGCACATTGACTGTTTCGCGCTATCTAGTTTGCACTTGACAATAAATTTGCACACGATACCTCTGTGTTTGGTTTCCTCTGTGCGTGGCTTCCCCCCGGCAGGTGTGTCTGGTGGCATGGCTGGTGGAAATGCACATTGACTCTCGGTGTCTCTCTTCCATCTTTGCTGCTGTAGATGAGGAAGTGAAAAGTGTAGCAGCGTAACTGACTGCGGACTGGCTCGTCATGATTCTCTATTGGGTCACAATTTAAAATTTACAACTTACTTGCCCCTTCTACTTACCTCTCCCAACTCTCAACCCTTTAACTTCCCAAACTGCTATTCTTACATGAGTTCATGCATTTTCTGTGAACAGCAGTACGCAAAGAGCCGCTGAGTCACAAATAACTGGCCGCATTGCTGGTTGCTGTTGTGCAGATTAAAGAGCAATGCCAGTTGCATGCTTGACTCTGTAATAAGCATGTAGAAAGTGTGACTTTCTACTCAATATTTGCTGACAATGTATTGTTCACACACATTTCCAGAAGGCTGCTGTAGTGATTTCGTTATTTGTAACGAAGATGCATATCACACGGATTTTCTGGAAACCTCATCGTACATGTTACTCAAAATCGCCTTACGCGAAGAGAACCTCGGTAGTTTCATCGTTTTCACCTATTGACAGGCGGATGTCGCTGATTCTCACCTGCAGCGAAGCAACCACTTCCCCCAACCCGGCTGGCCCCGCGACCCGCCTCACCACACCTGCTACTTCCCCGCTTGCCATTCCCTAGAAATCCAAACCACCTGACGGGGGAAGGGCGGGCCAAAGGCGGAAGCAGCACTCGGATCCTCTGCTTCAACCGGGATTCATTTTTTTTTTTGGCGAAACTCCATTTTGCCCGTGGCGAGACGATTTGACTCGGATTTGACTCGGATTCGGCGCAAAAGGGTGTTGGACCTTACAAAATCCAAACCACCTGATAGCGCAACGAAATGGGCGCAAGAGTGGTTACACTACCGGTTTGGATTATCGACGGTCGCACGAAAGCGACGTCGCAACCACTATTCTCCAGTATTTGTATAAGAACTTTGTTGTTGACACTTCAGTGTAATTCTGACAAGCAGAATGTCAAAATGGTTAAGTCTGAATTCTATATGGTTTGGCTCATAACTCCATAATTTGTTGGTCATTTGCACACAAATATGGATTTCCAGCATCTCCTTCATGTCCTCTACCAGCGGGCATGCGTTTGTTATTTTGTCAAATTTGTTACATTTTGTCACCTTTGGGTCAACTAAGGTTGCTCATAGCACATGTAAAGTCATTCTCTGGGCATCACACACATGTGTTATGTGGTGACCATATTTTTTTGCATTGTTAGTGTTATGACACCTGTTCCAGCCCCCCTGAACATTTTCAGCTCTATGCAAACTGATTTGGTGGGCTTTTTCTTGCAAGGAAGTTAGTGCTGAGCTGCCTGGTGTGATGTGTCAGGTGAAATCACCCACTTCTCCTTGGGAAAATGAGCCCATTTTGATAGGGCACTGTCATCACACCTATTCCTGATCCCCATCCAGTTTTCACTTCATTTCATCAAGGTTTGCCATGCTTTTCATGTTATATTCTGCAGGCGGGTGCAGAATTCTGTGCAGAAATGCCTGGAACCATGTTTCTTGTGAAATCAACCACTTTGCCTTGGGCAAATGATCTGATTTTCATAGGGGACACTCATCACACATATCCCAGACCCCCCAAAGATAGTTACATTACTCTGTGTAGTGTAACATTTCACTTGGTGTAGGCCCTAGTGAAGGGTAGTTTCGAGACCCTTCGTGGTTGGGGACAGTGTGGCACTGTTCCACATCACTGTACCTCGGCTCTTGGGGTTTGTAGGAGCTGGGAGTCATTCCCAACTCGTAACTCTTCATATCTCTTCCTATTTTGTGTTCTAAGAAGATAGTGGCTGCCATAGTGCCGTTCGTTCAAACCGACACTCTGTCGTCAATACTTGGTGAAATTGTGCGATCTAAATTGCCTATTATAGGCGACGTTGAAACGCTCCAGATCCAAGTTGAATCAGGTCATTTGAAGTTGTGACCAGAACGCTATGAACGTTTGAAGCCGCTGTGCAGGAAATCCGGCTGTGCACTCTATCTTTCGTTTTAGGCACATTGGAGCCTATTGTGCCTATAACAAGTGGTATCAGAGCCCCTTGGAGCAGTTTCGACAATGGCTGGACCTGAGGAAAGGGGTGGCGGAGGTGCTGGTGGCAGAGGAGAAGCCCAAGCTCAAGGCCAACCCCGTGATTCAGCCATGGCGCCTGTGCAATCAAGTGTTGGTCCATCTAGGGATGAGCCTAGAGTGTTTGGCCTTGACAAGTTCAATGGTGACAACTTTGCTGAGTGGTCTTTTAGAATGGAGAACATATTTGACCACTATGACCTGCTGGAGGTAATGGAAGGAACAGAGAAGCGTCCCGAGAACGACCCGGAGAAGAGCCCGTGGGTGCGGAAGAGCACACAAGGCTACCTCCTACTTGGGCAAGCGTTGGGGAGCAGCCAAATCCGTCACATCAAGCCTTTCCAGCGTGAACCAGAGAAGGGACCAAAGGCATGGGCTGCTCTCAAGGGTGTACACGCTCCTGCAACAGCGGCGGTAGCTGTGGTGTTGGAACGGCAAATGGCGACACTACGAATTGAAGAGGATGAAGCGGTTGAAGAAGGGGTGCAGAAATTCTTCGACTTGTTGACGCGGCTTGAGGGAGCTGATTTGAACTATAGTGAGCTCCAAAAGAAGACCAAGTTGCTGGCCCTACTCCCTGAGTCATGGTCCTCGCTCATCATCAACCTTAATCGCGACTTGCCCCGCCTCTCGCTTGAAGACGTGAAGCGAGCTATCCTTCAAGAGGATTTCCGCCGCCGTGAGTTGGTGAGTGCGGATGGCGCTGGGGCAGCGAGCATCGGCCGTGGATATGGTCGAGGAAGAGGTAGAGGACGAGGGGGAGGAAGGTTTGGTGGGAGCAACTTCGGCGGAGGCCGCGGGAGTGGCGATTACGGCAGCGACGACAAGAGCTACGGACGCGGTCGCGGCCGATTCGACGGCGAGTGTCACTATTGCCACAAGAGCGGACACATGTGGCGCGACTGCTACAAACTCCCTGATGGTTGGACCCCTGCTCAAGGCCAAGAGGGTAGAGGAGCAGGAGGAGGGAGAGGAAGAGGCCGTGGAGGCCGTGGCGGTCGCGGTGGCGGAGCTGCAAACATGAAGAGCGAAGACAACGACAAGGACCCGAGCAACGATCGGTACCCGGGTCTATTCTACTTCGTGTCGACCCAAGTACCGACTGGTCCAGAGAAGGATGAAGGCTTTGAGGAGCCAGCAGCTCTGGGGAAGGTGACTCTACACTCTCTGGACTATTGGTTGATCGATAGTGGCGCTACCTATAGCATGACACCTCGCCCAGACTTGCTCAGCGAACTCGAACCGTCACCGGTGAAGCATGTCACATCAGCTTTGGGGCAGCGAGCGGAGGTGAAAGGCATGGGCAAGGCCATGTTTAAGGGTGCTGATGGGAAGATGGTGGGCCTCAAGAATGTGCTTTGGGTGCCCAGCCTTGCTGCCAACCTGATTTCCGTGCGGCGGTTGGCAAAGGCCGGCATGGACACGAACTCAAAGGGAGCCAAGACCTACACCGCAAGGCTTGGCGATCGGATTCTTTGGGACCTTCATGAGGACAGAGATGTCTACAACGAGATGTGGCAGATCCCTGTGGTCCCAATGCCTAAGGAGAGGCAAGTGGCAGCAAGCGTCAGCACCAAAGGTGGAGCGGTTGGTAGCGGCGATTGCGCGGACGGTCGCGCTAAGGAGAAGGAGTCCAAGAAGTGCAATCTTGGAGGGACCAGCAAGCTTGGTGAACCTATGGAGAGAGGTGCAGCAACCAAGGAGCAGCAAAAGGGTGAGGAGAACCCCGAGGCAGCAGCGAAGGAGGACTACGGAGAGAGTATGTGGGGCGCTATTGCGAGCGCGGCATTCTCCAATCCAACTTCGGCTACGAGGGAGTGTGATTGGCTCACCTTGCATCGGCGCATGGGGCATGTGGCCCTGCCCATCTTGCAGCAGCTAGTAAAGAATGAGATGGTTGCTGGCATACGTGTGAAGGGGGAGCCCGATGAGGTACTTGGCTGCCCGACGTGCATGCAAGCCAAGTTCACCCGTTTCCCATTCTCTAGTTCGGAGGCAACGGCTAAGGCACCACTTGATGAGGTGGTGATGGACGTGGTGTGCCCCCTGAAGCTTGGAGCTGCTGGAGCTGAGTACTTCCTCACTATTGTGGACGTCTACACCCGTATGACTTGGGTGTACGTGCTGGCCAAGAAGAGCGACGTGGCTGAAACGTTGAAGGCGGATTGGTTCCCGATGGTGGAGCGGCAACAAGACCGTCTAGTCAAGTCAATCCGCACCGATCGAGGGGGAGAGTTCTTGAGCAAGGAGTTTGGGTTGTGGCTGAAGAAGAATGGTATTCGGCACTCCCTCACCATGCCATACTCCCTTGCAATGAACGGCATCGCCGAGCGAGCGAACCGCACAATCACGGAGGCGGCACGCGGGTTGCTCATTGAAGCCGGGCTACCCGACTATTTCTGGCCTGATGCGGTGCGGAGCGCGTGTGTGGCCAAGAACCGAGCCTTGACTCATGTGGGAGCAGACAAATGGGTGCCCTATGTGGAGTGGCTAGGAAGGAAGCCAAAGGTGGATATGCTTCGGGTGTTCGGGTGCATGTGCATGGCGCTCGTGCCTAAGCATCTTCGGCACAACAAGCTTGGTGCCAAGGCGGTGTGGGCCGTGCACTTGGGCATGGCTCAAAACAGCAAGGGATGGCTTCTTTGGGACCCATTCACCAAGAAGTTCTTGGTGAGCAGGGACTACAAGTTCATGGAGAACTTCATGTACAAAGATTGGAAGGCGGAGAATGAGGCGAAGATAGGCGTGCGGTTTGGGGAGGTGAAGAGTTCCGGTTTGGAGCATGTGGAGCTGCCTTTGGAGCTGAGCAGTGGCAGCACAACCACAAGGCAATCATCCCTTGTGAATGGGGGAGAGGAGGCCAATGATGCAGAGGAAGAAGAGGAGGAGGTGCAGCAAGTGAGCGAGCGTGCACCGTCACTCCCTTCCCGTACTACGAGTGCTCCACGGATTCGAGCCACACCGCAGCAACGCCAAGGC